CTTACTTTAAGTGCAAAATATAAATATCTTGGCAAATTATTAAGTTCTTTTTCATTTTAAGATGACATTAAAGTTTCCATTTTTTGAAGTGTAGGCCAACGGCAAAAATATGGTTTCAAAAGTTTCTTACGAAGGTTTTGATATTTTGGACAAACGAGAAAAAAATGGAGTTCATTTTCGATGACATGCATATTACAATGTTGACATTGGAACTCCATTGTGCCTACCACTTGCAATTTTTAGATTATGTTATGATAACCGAAATTGCGTCAGTTGTACTCTGTATTTATATTTACTTACACGATTTAAGTATTTTTCAAGTTCGAGGTCGCACTTATACATACTGTATGTTTGTAATTTACTTGAATTATTTATTTCTAAATACCAAGTTTGTTTATACGTTGTATATATCTAATATTCCATTCTTTATAATTTGAAATGATATGTTGATTTTGTTTTGCTATAGCCATAGAAAGGAAAAACTTATTTCGTCAAGTATTTGATATGTCCAATTTTTTCCGTTAAACGATATGTTGTTATTGATATGTTCTTTCATTACATTATACATTTTTCTTATTAATGCATTATTTTCTGAGCTCAAAATGTTTAACCAATATTTAATCATAATAATTTTGAGTTGTATTCTCATCGGATACTGTCACAGTTCCACGTAGAGACCAGGGGTTAGTATCTCGAAGCTATCGTTAGCATAACGACTATCGTATACCTCTCGTTAAGGTTTTCACCGCTATCTCGACGCTCTCGTAATTAACGAATAATCGTTAATATGTCCAATTATTAACGGATGCCAAGAGGGTGTCGTAAGGGTCTCGTTACTATCATTTTCACATTTTGACACAAAAGTAAGAAAGGTGCGATTTTAAAGTACATAAAAAATGAGAATTATATCATTTTATTGATAAAAATGATGAACCGACATATATATAGTATTGTATTTCTTTTTCTCATAAATTTTCACAGGCCCGTAATAGATTGTATTGTGTAAATTCACTTAAAGAACTCTTTAATACAATTCCATAAAAAAATATCATTGATTATTTGGAAGAGATAAACTTGTATTCTTGGATCTAATTGGCTCATTTTTTTGTCATTTACAAAGTTTTACATAACATTTTAAGCCTATTATAGCATTCGGCACGATATGGCCAGTTATGTGTTGACGAAAAACAAACAAAATTTTTTTCACATATCAAACATATGTAAACTGTAAAGCCGTAAAGGTTCTTTACAGTTTAATGTAAGACTTATATTTGAATGCGGATGAAAAAAAAACATATGATAACTTAAACAGCGAAAGGAATAATCTCCGTAATGTGTAATTTTGCACAAGAAAATATAAATAAATATATGCATACATCATGCTGAAAATTGAAATGTTGTTTGTTTATCATTTCAAAGTAACAAAAATTTCACTCGCGAACACCAGTTGTTATAATTTAACTCGTTATATTTTAATTTATAATAAAACAAACATCCTTTGTTTAAAACAAAATGAAAATTTATCCATATTAATTAACAGCAGCCATGTATATATTTAAATAGTAATACAGATTTCTGACAGGTTATATGGCCGTATATAAACGATAACCCGAGCCGCCAAGTAAGAGTTATATTGCAAACAAAATTATATCGGCCATATATCCTGTTAAAAATCATTATAACGAATTTACAATACCGCAGAAAAAAGAGAGATTTCTTGATAAATTGACAGCAGCTGTGTATATTATTTATATAAACGCCAATTAAAACTGACGTATCAAACTTGCAGTAACAAACGTGCAGTATTATAAAGATTTTTTATACTGCACGTTTGTCACGTCACTTTTCATTGGAAAATCGTGACATTTTTATAGTTTTATTTACACTGTTTCTGGCAATTTACTAAGAAATCTCACTTTTTTCTCAAAAAAGGGAAGTTCGCGGTTTTATAAATTCGTTATAAATATTTCTGACTTGTTAAATGGTTGTAGGCAATATAACCATCGCCCAGCGGGTCGGATGTCCAAACAGTCGTTTATATGGGGCAATATTACCTGTCAAAAATCTTCATAACTAATAATATAAACGTCATGATTATCCAATGAAAATCGACTTTACATATTTAATATATAGATGGATATTGAAGTTTTTTCTATAGATACATGATTTATTTTCATTGAGTGGTATGAAAATAAATATTTCATGAGTGGCGGTAGCCACGAGTGAAATATGGTAACTTTCATGCCACAAGATGAAAATAAATCATGTATTTATAGAAAAAAACTTGAACTTCCTGTTTATTATATAGAGGATATTTGTTTAGTTCAGTGTAAGATCGGAATATATTTCACCGAGTGAGCACCAAAAGGTATATTTCACGAGTGGTGCAGCCACGAGTGAAATATGAACTATTGGTGTTCACAAGGTGAAATATATTTGATCTTACACTAAACTAAACAAATTTTCTTTTTATTATATGCAAAGACACGTTTTAAAAAGACATTAATCCTAATACTGAATTAAAAACGCGCCAAATAATAATATGTTTGTCTAAAGAGTAAAAGTTTATTATGTTTCGTGAAAATATAGTCCACATTTCACTCAAACGGAGAGCAACAATGAAAGCAACATTTTCAAATTTGAATATTGACAGTATACTTACACCCTAAAATAGCCTGAAGAATGAGGGATGGTTATCTGCCCCCAGATTTTTTGACTGGTATTGAGAAGAAGCTCCGCCAGAATATTGGCTTTAACTATGTTAAGTGTTTAAAATATCTGACAACACTGGCAGCCGCTGCTGCTAAATCTTCAGTCTCTGCGGTTCTATATACAGTCGTTCTTCCTCTGTTTCTAGTATTGCAGTTTCTATATTAAGTTCCCACCCCGCCCCTCAATTTAAATCACGCCTGTTTCATTAGTACTTTCAACAGGGGCAGTTCCAATGACTGTTCTTTTTTTTAAAGGAACCGTTTTCGTAGGTTTACCACTATCACAATTGATATTATCAAGGCAATCGGGATTTTCATCGCGAAACAAGTCTATATTGTTAGACGACAGACCGCCGGATCCTGTACGTGTCGTGTGATTGTGTTCCGGTTAAGCATGATCGTAACCTTATATTCACCTTCGTCTACGCAAAATTCGTGAATATAAACAAGAGCTATACACAATTTTCGCGGTACATGTATTCAAATGATAACACAACGCAATCGTTAATAACTAACGAGTAAGCAACGAACGATTGCTTAACTACTGCTTTCGAGATACCCGCGCTAGTCTCTCGTTAACCAACCCTCCGTCAATCGTTAGCACGTTCGTAAACGCAAATATAACGATAGCTTCGAGATACTAACCAGATATATTAGTTGATTTTTTATCGCTAAGTGTCGTTCTCAAAAATTTACTATGTATGCGCTCAATATTTTTACACTCACAATTGCCTATTATTTCGGCGCCATAATTTAGAATTGATCTCAGCAAAAGAATAAAATAGTTTACATTTTTCCTGTGTAGATAGGTCTATTTGATTAAAAACAACAAAGTAATTATGTACAGCAAATAACGAATGTTGAGCAAGCTTCTTTTGTGTACTATTGATGTGACCGTTTTTTAATAAAATAATTCCTAGACATTTTAATGGTGTCACTAGTGTTAGTGTTTACGTTTAAATTTAGACTTTTGCAATAATTTTGAAAATCATTAAGAAATGACTCTAGCGCTTCCGGCGAATGGGCTGCTGTTGGCTGAGAATAAGAATATTGTATTTTAATTCTTTTCCGAAATTGAGGAGACTCAGATTTGCTTACAATATTGGTTTGCTCTTTTAAATTATATGAGTTGTATATGTTTGATCTTGTTATAATTGCTTTTGCATTATAATTAACAAACTCTTGTCTATCATGAATTCGTTAAATTGAAGTCGTAAAGTTGAATTCGTGAAGTTAAATTTGTTTTAACTTTATGAATTCAAGAACTTGAAATTGTGAATTCATGAATGTGAAATTTTGAATTCATGACGTTGAAATCGTGAATTCGTGAAGATGAAATCTTGAATTAATGATGATGAAATCATGAATTCGTGAAGATGAAAACGTGAATTCTAGACGTTAAAAACGTGAGTTCATGATGTTGAAATCTGAAATCGTGAAGTTGAAATAGTGAATTCGTTAAATTTAAATCTTGAAATGAAATTCGTAGAGTTTATTTTGTTTTAAATTTATAAATTTATGAATTTAAAATCGTGAATTCAAAAACTTCAAAATGTGAATTCGTAAAGTTGAAAATGTTCAAAACAAAATCTAGAAAGATGAAATCGAGAATTCATGAAGTTGAAATGTCCCTACAGGTCTCTCATTGGTTTCCGTGTGTCCTTATCATTTTGGTTCCAATTGGTGTAGTTGTCGTCACTGTTGTTGTTGTTGTGTGTATATATCATGGTTAGCTCTAGAATCTATTTAACCTAAAAGATATGCATTCTGTTAAGCAATTTTGATATATTCTTGCCGATTCATTTTTTAAAACAAATTCTTAATTGACATCTCGTTAATGTACCTAACGGCTACCATGGCGAGGTCATTCATTGTGTGGGAAGGTCATAATATTTAAGAATGTTACTCAACGGGAAGTCAATATTGTTTTAAATGTAATGACCGATTGTCATAAGTGGGTGTCAAAATACCATTTTTAGGTTTTATTCACGGTTATATATAAATGCTTCAAGATAGAAAACTTTGCGAACGTTCTGGGGATGTAAACCAAACCAAATACTTGGTTGTTATGCATTTAATGAATTATAAACACACGAAACATACGATTGTTTTTTGATTGGACGATTCACCTATGATCAATAACAAGGGCATGTTTCATGCATTTGATGCTAACCAGCCTTACCCGTAAATATAGCGCACATGAATCATACCATAGAGACGGGACTGTTCTACGCTTTCAGATACGGTCGTTGTTTGATTTCATTTTATATAGCTGTGGCAAATAACAAAAATTCTACTTTTAATACAATGGCTTTGACTGCTGGAATTATAATAATTAACGCTGTCTTATTCGGAACAGTTTACTCAAACAAATGCAATTCATTTGAAATAAGCAAGGACAATCTTAATAAAGCTTTGATCGGTCATTCCGTGTTAGAAGTTAATGATAAAAACCATCACGATTGTGCGCGAACCTGTATGTCAATGTCCGTCTGTAAATCGTTCGACTTTGACAGAAACGAGCACGTGTGTAAATTAAACGATGTTGACCAGTCGTCCGTTGATCCGTCGGAGTTTGAAACAAAGCGAGGCTCTATATTCTCTGATATCAGCGAATGGCCTAGCGTAAGTATCTCAATTTATTAATTGATACGATATGTACAACTGTTGGAAACGGAAATGATACAACATTTTATACCTCTCTTACATTTGAGATGTATAATGACATATGCATTTTTTCTCATACTTGTAATGGTAATGATATTTTCATAACTTACATTTTATTGTGCAAATGATAAAATTTCGAGGAATCATCTCAGAAGTTTCTCTTTCACTCATTGCCAATAAAATAAAATCATAAGAAAAATCATAAGCTTACCTAATCGTGTCTCATTCAGAAAATACACATTTAATAGTTCTTGTAATTCAACAATACATACATACTATTTATAGAGAATGGTTGGAAGTTGTGGCTCAAAGCCGTGTAAAGCGAACCAAAGATGTTACCAAAATGTTGCTTCACATGTGTGCAAAGACATAAGTATGTAAAAAACTTTCATTTTTATACAATTAGTTGTTATTGAACTAAATGTTGTATAATTTTTTCAAGAAATATTTACGCAATAGATTTTGTTTGATAGATGTCATGTTGTGAAACGTAAAGCCCTTGAAGACATGTACAAAAGTTTTTTTTTATAGTAGAAAAAGGACTCTTCTTAAATCCGCCCGACTGATACGTTTACGTATTGAAGGAACTCAACTATGTTTACATTGATATAAAATAGGATACTTGATCACGATTTATAATTAAACGTTTCATTTTCAAAAATGATCATTCAGAAATTGGCATTTTATTTGTAAAGTATTAATTATTGTTTAGACAATACATTATTATTATTATTATTTCTAGCCTGTGCTTTTGATCAGAAAATTGGAAATGGTGAAATACAGACTATAACTCCTGACGAAAACAAGTTTCTCGACGTAGCTCAAGTAAAATGTGACGAAGGATATGTTCCTAGTCAACAAGAGGTGAAATGTGAGGCTTCGGGACAATGGCAGTCTGCAACGTGCACGAAAGAAAAATGTAACGTATTTAAATATTGCTGTTTTTTTTTCTTTTCTTTATACTTTTTCTAAATTAGCCATGACGTCAGAATAAAAGTTGTCTTACTTGCGAGATCGTCTTTCAAAACATTTCCCTTGGCACTTAAAATGATTATTCAAATAAATAAATATTTTATTATCTAAATGTTCTTATATATAAACAGAATATATATAGAGGATATATGGGATAATGTCTTTCAGACAGTTAATTCTTTTTATTTAATCAAGCTATGGATTTTGTTTTTCCCAATAGTAAATAATGAAAAACAGGCAGGTACATTGCCACTATGATTACTTTAGAATTAGTACAGATCTTACAAACGGTATATTATTTTTTAGAATATTATAACATTTGTAAAAAATAAAACAACATTATTAGATGATAACTTTCTTCCCTTTATTGGCTTATTTAAGCAAAATTTCTCCTGATATTGTTTTTATTATCGTTTCGAAATGAAATGATAGTCTTTGATGACATATTTTCTATTCGGAGGTGAGTTTAAGAAAATCTTAATTACATCTTCAGTTCTTCAATTTTAAGCAAAATTTCTGATTTTTGACTACTCCCTAACTCTACCTTCAACTTTGTTTTCTAACTTACATGTAAAGTTTGCAATTTGCATCATGCATAGAACTAAACATTTACTAAAAAAGTTTTATACTGTAGGAAGGAACATGGGTATAGAAAAAATGGCAATGTCGCAATACTTGTCATAGAAAATAAGAATGATTTCACTGTTACATTTACCTCCCTGGAAAATTGCAATTTGATTTTTGTGCCGAGGTCGAAATTACGTCATAAAAAGACCTTAGGTATGGTAAGATTTTCCAACCATGTATAAACATTATGACGAAAGTGTATAATAGAAAAACGTCACTTTTGATGTTTTTATTTACACAATTTATGGAATTAATTGTAAAAACACTTGCATGAATAATCTATTCTTGTTACAAATACTGTTTTGATCTTTTCCTAGTACCAAGTGATTGTAAAGAAGTCCTTGATAAGGCTCCTGGGGCGAAAAGTGGACAATATGAGATAAAACTATGGAAATCTGGGAAGATTCTGACCGTGAATTGTGACATGGAAACCGACGGCGGAGGTTGGACGGTATGAAGATTCTTTTATTCCAATGTTTAATTAGCAAATTGTTCTTTCCTGGCTCACATACTCACATGATAACATTCATTTAACTCATGATGTGATATTTTTGTTCAGTACGAATAACCAATCAAATAGTGCCAAATAAACGTCATATCAAATTGTATTTTATTTCAATTTTCAGGCATACTTTCGCTGTAAAATTCCACAGAGTATATTTGTTGGTTTTAATACTCGTATAAATAACGATATTTCCACACTTACATATGATGGACTCCTTTCATCAGTATTCATTTAAACAGTCGGGCTTGTTTGGGGAAAACCTTATTTTTCATCATTTCCCTGGGGAAATGTTTTAGAAATTTTAAAAAAATCTTTTAAAGGTCAAAAAGTTTTGAAGGTAAAATGAGTCAATTTTTAATGGGGAAGATAAATGATAAAAAGGACAGGGGGTCTTTTCCAAACAGAAAAATTTAAAGAAAAAAAATTTTGCCCATCTTTTTTTTTTGAAAGGGAAATTTTTAACCTTATTTTTTTTTAGGCCAGACTTTAAAAAACCTTAAAATAATTTTAAAAAAAAACTTTTAAACTTCATTTTATAAACAAATACTGTTAAACGAACTTCCGGTTGGGGCAATTTTTTTTTCGGCCAAAATTTTTTTGCCCTTTTCATTTTTTAAATAAAAAATATGGGTTAAAACGAACAAGGTTATGGGGAATTGTCGCTTAAAAAGGGAAACTTAAATTTTTTTTAGTCAAATTTGAAAAAAGAAAAAAATAAAAACCTTTAAATAAAACCCAAAAAAATTCCCAAAATTGGGTTTTTTAAAATTTTCCCCGGGCTTTTAAAATTTAATTTTTTTTGGGAGGGGGAAAAAAATGGGAAGAAAATGGAAAATTTTTGGTTTTTTTATTAATCAAAAAAGGAAAAACGAAAGGGCACCCCATGGGAGTTTAGAAACAAAGTATAAAAATTTTATGAGCAATTGATAATTAAAGGAGTAAAACAAAAACTGAAATAGCAAAGAATTTTAAAAAATCCAAATAGTTTACGCTTCTCTGGGGTATGTGTCTTAAAAAAGAAATAAATGACTAATTTTCTTAAAAAAAAATGCTCTTCATATTGGAGGGACGATAGGAAACAATCAATTTATTATATGTAAATTTGTTCGCTTTAAAAAATCTCCTGATACAAGGGACTAATTCGCTATATGCTTCCAAGGAACCCTGATATAAGGAAACAGATTTTGAATGTCTTAAATAAGTTCGTTATAAGCGGAGTTTACTTATAAAAATTCGTAAGCGCTCAACCTGTTTGCGTTTATTCTAGCTATTTCATAGGCGAATAGACGGGTCATTGGACTTTTATCGCAACTTTACAGAGTATGAGAATGGCTTTGGGAACGTTGATGGAGAGTTTTGGCTAGGTATGTAAAAACTTTTGCATTACTTATAGCATTTACAGTTTAAAACAAATGTAGTACAGTTATTGCGTAGTTACCTAAGGTACAATAGAGAAAATAAGAATCCCTAAAGAAATTAGGCCGCAATTAAATAACACGCACGGCATTTGTTGCAAGCGTAACATGAATATGGGTTTCGTTACAATAGAACAAATATTTTGCTTACAGTAAACAAAAAGTTTAATTAACGAAAACACTTAGAATTGTTCTCGTTGACCGTGATGCATTGCTTATATTAGTTGTTGTAATGTGTATTGGTAAACATATTAAGTTGTTGTTGAAGTCAATTGATAGACATAAGTTGTTGAAGTGTTTTTATAAACATAAGTTGTTGAAGTCTATTGAAAGACATATGAGCCGCGTCACGACAAAACCAACATAGTGCGTTTACGACCAGCATGGATCCAAACCAGCATGCGCATCCGCTCAGTCTGATCAGGATCCATGCTGTTCGCTATCAATTTCTCTAGTTGTAATTGGGTTGGTAAGCGAACAACATAGATCCTGATCAGACTGCGCGGATGCGCAGGCTGGTCTGGATCCATGCTGGTCACAAGCCCATTATGTTGGTTTTGTCGTGACGCGGCTAATATGTTGTTGAAGTATTTTTGATAAAAATAAGTTGTTTTAAGTTTATCAATACACATATTTAACTGTCAAAGTGTATTAATAAGCATAAGTTTGTTGAAAGTATATTGATAACATAAATTGTTTGAAGTTCAATTATCATAAAAGGCAACCTTCGCCAGGTTTAAAAATGTCCTTAAATAGAACCCAATGTTATAATTATTGTAACGGTTTGTTAATTTAGTATATATGAATGTTTAAGACATAATTCTACTAAAGATCTTTGGTAAATTTCTAAATATCTATGTTTACATTTGATATATTTTGGCAGGTTTAAAGTATATACAAGAAAACTAGCTGAACAAGGTTTCTACACAGATATTTGTCTTGGCAATGACAAGAAATGATAGTACAACAGGAAGCATGAAACTTGTCCAGGCTTTATAGTTAACAGATGGAACAAATTATACACTAAACATTGGGTCATGCACACGTTCTGGAATGAGATGTAATTTATGCTGACAGTTTTTGTCTTCTTTTCTTATATATTCTGTACGCTTAGCTAAATGAAGGCACAACAGCTTTAAAACCAATACAAAGTAAGCTGTTGACAGCACAGCAGTTATAGTATGAGGCAAAAACAATCTCAAATTTTCATAGCAAAAAGTAAGACTAGTGAATAGAGTCTCTCACAACTATTTGACACAATGTTTTACTTGCGATGTTACATAGATTATTCTCTTTTTAAAGGTAAATAATGACTAAAATATGTTTTTATTTTTGGTTCTCAAAAGCATTTTATTTTTTCTCAAAACACTAGTCATTCACTGATAACTTGAACCATTTGTTTCATCTGTTGGTTTTGGCAATTAATACAGATATAGTGGTTGAAGTCAGGATATAAAGTCAGAATATATCCTTGTCTATATTTTGTGCCTACGTCTATTCACGCATTTTCAAATCTAGCTAAATGCCGTTTTCCGGTACTTTCTGTACATAGCTCAGGGGTATTCACCGAATGGATTGTAATAACAAACTCATTGTTTTTGGTCTTTTTTAATTATAAGAGAAATAAAAAAGCTATTTTTTTGTAAGAACATAATTTAATATCATTGTATTAATTATTTCATGCAAAAAATAAAGTAAAAACTCAAGTTTTCGCAGAAAATATCTCTTTTTTATTGTGGAAGATGCCACTACGACTGTTTTAATTTTATTGATTTTCGTTATGAACATTTTTCTTTTTGAAAAATTTGTAATAGACTTTTTAAGGAACATTGATAATTTTCAAACACATCAGGCTTTTTTTCAACTTTAACAGTAAAAAATGACAGAAAGATCGACATATCTTGTAATTCAGTCAAACTTGTATTAAGCGACCGCCCAAGGGAAACACCCAACACGGTCGCTTAATGAAACGGTATCTAAAGACAAAGCATGATAAAATGTCAAAATTTACACGACACCTTTCTTTTGTGGTGGGAATGTTTCTCAACTTCATTTATATAAATGTTTAATAATTAGAACGCTACGATTATCTAAATGGATGCCAATGTAAAAAAATAACTGTAGTGTAATGTAAGTGTATTTGGTGTAATTCCACAGAGCTAAATCCGTAACGTACCGAAAAATGGTGTTTAGCTAGGTTTTCGAAAACGTCAATGACAAATAATTTCACATTTATCGCTACTTTCGTCAGGTTATAATCATGTTTTGAAACCATAATTCTTTTCTAATGTTATTCGTTTCATTGGCGCACAGTTTCTTTAAATTATGAATGTTTTAAACAAATAAAAGACGACAATATTATAATAACAAAAGAATAGTATAATAATCAGATTGGCAATTCCTATCTTATTTATAGCAGAACCAATTCATGTCTGAATTTTTAATGTTGCTATATTTTGCTTGATATAAAATATTAAATTTCGATATACTGTCAATTAAGAGATCGTCTTTGAGTGTTTGTTTATACATAATATTATAGTAATTTCAATGTGTTTGTGAAGAAAGCAGTAAATATGCACAATGTAACGCTTATCATAATGTTCTACACCCAGAAGATGACTACTTAACCTTGTCTCTGAAAGAGCAAAGTTTCCCACTGACTGGTTTAGAAGACCAACACAATAAATAGCAAATATTTACTGACCTGATATTGGACCTTCTTTTCCAGAATATATAACAATTGTATATAACATCTGCGATGAACCGGATGATGTGTTTGTATGATTGTGGTGGGGATAGAAACTCGCTGTTTATGAAATTTGGCATTGTCAACATGCAAACTGCCTTGATAACAAAGTGTGACAATGACTTAGCTAGAACTAATTAATATTGTCTTTTTATCCCTAGGTACATCTAATAGCTTTGAGTATAATAATCAACAGTCATTTTCAACTTACGACCGTGATCTTGACGGCAGTATAAATAATAACTGCGCCGCGGACAGACATGGAGCCTGGTGGTATTATAGCTGTACTCGTGTCAATCTAAATGGATACTATGCGACGCCAGGCACGGAATGTGAATTCCCCGGTGCCGATATTGGTGTCTGTGGACACTGTCATTATGGGTTTGATGAACGTTTGTCATTGAGAACGTCATCAATGATGATAAAAAGAAAATAAGATAAGTAATCAGAAGAAGATTTCATAAATTCACAGAATTGAATGATCGCACTCAAAAGAACATTTTTATATTATCAGGGTTTTTTGTATCAGACATGGTTTAATAAAATTTTTATCTATGATTGACGTATGCTGTGGATCATTTACATTTTCAGTTATTTAAAAATATAAAATATTTAAAATAACGTGAAATCATATAATCAGTTGAAATATTATCATCACCAGACAATATGTAATTCTTTTTCAGCAGGTTATCACGTTACAAAACGAAATGAAAAAAAAAAAAAAAAAAAAAAAAAAACATTTTTTTTTTAAAATCCAACTTTTGTGTTTGTTGAAATGTATTTTTTATTTTGTTAGATTTTTTTTAATCAAACTTATTTTTCAATGAAAAGCTTGAGGCATTGTCATATTTTATATTCAACAATATTTGTGTTTTCTACAATAAATGTGTTTATTAATTAACAAAAATAAGCTACTGTAAGAGTGAAGAAATTTAGAAAAAGCCTAGCATATTACGATCAGTTCTAGTTTTATAAAACAATGAAAATAAAATCAGGATCATTTGATCCTGACCCGGATCTTTTCTTTGTGAACAAGGGGTCTGACCAAAAGGTGCTAGGCCAAAACAGTTATACGCAAAGGCAGTTTCTTAGCCTACAGTCCATTAAAATAGTGTCGAATTTAGACAAGATGTTAAGTAGCCTGAGGGAAAGCACAGGGATAAGACGCTAGGATAATATCCGTTACTGCTACCCACCCCCCCCCCCCCCCCAAAAAAAAAAAAAAAAAAATTAAAGTCAATTTCTACATTTACTATTGATAAGAACAATAAAACTAGATAATTTTCATTATACATCTATAGTATTAGTTATACAAGGGAAGTGGTAGGGGATAATATGCAGTTTTTTCCAGGATTTTAGGAACATGACCCATACCCATGGAATTGGGTACTTGAGCGATGCTTTGTTATATATTGGGAAAATGCATTACTTTTGGAGTGATTGAATGAATGCAAACAATCACTGTCTAGGATGCTATCTTCATACGTTTGAGCACCATAGCATTGAAGAGCCCCTTATTTCATTTTTTTAAGAACTTCGTATTAAATATTTTTATTTTGTAACTTTTAAATGGGAATTCTATCTTGTGGATTAGAAAAATAATATACTATAGTCAATTGGGAATATGGCCGAATATCCGCTATAAAAAGGCAAAGAGAAATCCCTTAATATCGGATCAAAGCGTCTTATTCCTGTGAGGTAGACCTGAAATTCTGATAAAAGTAAGGTAATCCTTTCAGATTTTAAACTATGGTTTAATTGGAATTAGTCATTTGACAAAAAGTAGTTCAATCACTGATACAAGCAGTTTTGACACGTATCTTGTTGCAAAATTACACATATTTTTATTGTATTCTGTATGGTTATATCGTTTATATTTTTTATATATTTTCATCGTTCATTATTGGTATGTGAAAATGGTAAAAACAATTGTTTATTCTATGATTTTATATTAATCGCCTAGATCAATACATGTATATACTTTCATATTGAATGGTTGTTGTGTAAAAATTGTAAAACAATTGTACTATTAGCTCGACTATTCGATAAGAATAAATAGAGCTATTGTAGTCACCCGAGCGTTGGCGTCGGCGTAACCACTTATGTTAAAGTTTTTGTAATACTTCAAATATTTTCAAAGTCCATTAACATATGGCTTTGAAACTTTGAACACTTGTTCACCATCATAACCCAACCTGTAGACAGGAGGAGGTAACTGTATCAAGCATTTTGACAGAATTATTCTCCTTTTTCAACTTTGAATTTACATTTAAGTTTGCGTACCACCTCAGATATTTTCATATTTCATTGACATCTTGCTTTGACACAAGGTGAAATTTTATACACTTCTTTGTGAGCACAATAGGACTCTCTCCACGGCCTATAACATAGATTTGTAAAAAATAACTATTTTATGAACTTAGAAAATTTTTAATTATCAAGGCTCCTTTGCTATCAAGCACTTAGAATTGTCGAGCGTTGCTGTCCTACCGACAGCTCTTGTATATATGTTTCTACATCATTGTGCTGACAAATATATACTTTCATGTTCAAAAATTGTTTATGTATGGTTCTACATAAAATGTGCTGACAAATATATACTTTCATGTCTGACAAATATATACTTTCATGTAGAATAATTGTATTATGTATGGAACTACATCAAATGTGCTGACAAATATATAATTTCATGTTGAATAAGTGTATTATGTATGGCTCTACATCAAATGTGCTGACAAATATATACTTTCATGTTGAATAAGTGTATTATGTATGGCTCTACATCAAATGTGCTGACAAATATATACTTTCATGTCTGACAAATATATAATTTCATGTTGAATAAGTGTATTATGTATGGAACTACATCAAATGTGCTGACAAATATATAATTTCATGTTGAATAAGTGTATTATGTATGGAACTACATCAAATGTGCTGACAAATATATAATTTCATGTTGAATAAGTGTATTATGTATGGAACTACATCAAATGTGCTGACAAATATATAATTTCATGTTGAATAAGTGTATTATGTATGGAACTACATCAAATGTGCTGACAAATATATAATTTCATGTTGAATAAGTGTATTATGTATGGAACTACATCAAATGTGCTGACAAATATATAATTTCATGTTGAATAAGTGTATTATGTATGGAACTACATCAAATGTGCTGACAAATATATAATTTCATGTTGAATAAGTGTATTATGTATGGAACTACATCAAATGTGCTGACAAATATATAATTTCATGTTGAATAAGTGTATTATGTATGGAACTACATCAAATGTGCTGACAAATATATAATTTCATGTTGAATAAGTGTATTATGTATGGCTCTACATCAAATGTGCTGACAAATATATACTTTCATGTTCAATAAGTGTATTATGTATGGTTCTACATAAAATGTGCTGACAAATATATACTTTCATGTCTGACAAATATATACTTTCATGTAGAATAATTGTATTATGTATGGAACTACATCAAATGTGCTGACAAATATATAATTTCATGTTGAATAAGTGTATTATGTATGGCTCTACATCAAATGTGCTGACAAATATATACTTTCATGTTGAATAAGTGTATTATGTATGGCTCTACATCAAATGTGCTGACAAATATATACTTTCATGTTGAATAAGTGTATTATGTATGGCTCTACATCAAATGTGCTGACAAATATATAATTTCATGTTGAATAATTGTATTATGTATGGAACTACATCAAATGTGCTGACAAATATATAATTTCATGTTGAATAAGTGTATTATGTATGGCTCTACATCAAATGTGCTGACAAATATATACTTTCATGTTGAATAAGTGTATTATGTATGGCTCTACATCAAATGTGCTGACAAATATAAACTTTCATCGTTCATCATGTATAATTATTGTGTGAAAAACTGCAAAACAATTGTCACTATATTTTATGCTTCTATGTTAAATACGTAGACAAATACATACTTTCATGTTGAATAATTGTTGTGTGAAATCTGTAAAACAATTGTATATTATATGCTTCTGAGTTACATGCATAGAAATATGTAATAGAAAGAGCATCGAAACACGAGGCTATCTGATTTGTACGAGGGGTGTAGACCCGAGTATAAATCAGATCGCCGAGTGTTTCGATGTTCTTTCTCTTTTGTATCATAGTCAAACATAAAAACAAGTTCCCTGTTGTCACAATATAAAACCCCAGAAAAAAGTAACCAATGAACGAGCATCTGAATATGAAATTTCTGTCGCTTTCCCTTTCTCTGTCGTCCCCAGCAAAAATGAGCCAATCAATGCTTGCTCTGGAGTGCGGGTAACTAATACCTGCACTCCAGTTAACGCAATGTGCATGTATATGTATACGATTTAACTCTGACACATTTTCAACAGAAAGGTCCCAAAACTATGATACAAATATACTTTTATAGTATATTGTCAGTATGTGAAACTTGTAAAGCAATTATATATTTTATGGTTCTATATTAAATGTATTGACAAATATATACTTTCGTTGTTCATGGTGTACAAGTATTGTTTGAAAACTGTAAATCAATTGTTTATTGTATGCTTCTTCTTTAAACATCTAGAAAAAATATACGGTTGGTGTCTGTATATGATTGTTGTGTGGGGACTAATATCGATTATCTATGACTTCTAGAAAATAAAGCTGCCAAATATTATTTGCCGAACTTGGGATCGCTATTTCCCGTTAAATTAGATGTGGTAAAGAACTTACAGCAGGTAGCACCTTTTTCGTCTGCAAAAGTCAACGGTATTTTTGTGTAGTAAGATTAGATAACCAGATTTAAGTTAAGCACTGAAAATTCTATATTTGTTTAGTTTTTCCCAAAACATCAAGCTTCAACTGTGGACAGATAACAGGCGAAGAAATGCAGTTAATGCTTTAACATATTCTATACTCGTGTATATTCATCTAAAGGTGTCAATCGATCTAATTATAACAGTCATAATGTATTTAAAATTAAACTAATCTAATAAAGACTGTGATATCAACTTAAAATATCAACCGACTTAATAAAACCTGTTATGTCGTATTTGATTATACATGTAGGTTGCAAAAGAACACTAAAAACTACGAACTTCTTTGCATCAGTCATTTCTCTACTGACAGTAAAACAAATTATGACATAAAAAGCAAATGCCATTTTACACAAGCAACAAAAAATGCAATCAAAGCTGCAATGGCTCACGGTAAACACATGACGTCCACGTCACCGTCATAATTTTACAGCGTCACACACGTTTTCACAACTTTTTAAAGTATATCCCATTAAATTCAATGCATCGCCTTTGGCGGTCAACACACTTCCTAAATGTGACCCTGTAAAAGTCACTTAATTGGAATTGTACGAATAATTTCGGACACGGCATTCTGAAAATCATGATATTGTACGTACTTCCGCCCCTTCAACCATTTTAGTTATACTATAATATTGTATTTGGGTAGTGAACGATCCAATTAAGAAACTCATATTATACATTGTATTTAAAATTCAAACACTCTTATTAATACTGCGGTATTATATTTAAGTATCAGACCATTTTATTGATAAGTCGTATTTTCTTTAAATATAAACTGATTCAGATATTCAGACTGTTATCTCAACCTGCTCAGCTTTTCTATAAGACAGATATTATGATTCCGAGTTATTAATAGGAGCATGGATGTTTTGATTCCGAGTTATTAATAAGAGCATGATATAATATAGGTCAGATGTCTTGATTCCGAGTGATTTATACATATGTAAGAGCATAATGTAATGTAGGTCAGATGTCTTGATTACGAATTATTATTAGGAGCATGGATGTCTTGATTCCGAGTTATTAATAAGAGCATGATGTAATATAGGTCAGATGTCTTGATTACGAATTATTATTAGGAGCATGAATGTCTTGATTCCGAGTTATTAATAAGAGCATGATGTAATATAGGTCAGATGTCTTGATTCCGAGTTATAAATAGGAGCATGGATGTCTTGATTCCGAGTTATTAATAAGAGCATTTTAGTAATATAGGTCAGATGTCTTGAATCCAAGTTATTAATAAGAGCATGATGATTCATAAGTCAGATGTCTTGATTCCGAGTTATTAATTAGAGCATGATGTCATATAGTTCAGATGTCTTGATTCTGAGTGATTAATAAGAGCATAATGTAATTTAGGTAAGATGTCTTGATTCAGAGTTATTAATAATAGCATGATGTAATATAGGTCAGATGTCTTGATTCTGAGTTATTAATAAGAGCATGATATAATAAAGGTCAGATGTCTTGTTAAGAGGAAAAAATAAGAGCATGATGATATAGAGTCCAATGTCTTGATTCCGAGTAATTAATAAGAGCATAATGTTATATAGGTAAGGTGTCTTGATTCCGAGTTATTAATAAGAGCATGATGCAATATAGGTCAGATGTCTTGATTCCGAGTTATTTGTAAGAGCATAATGTAATATAGGTAAGATATCTTGATTCCGAGTGATTAATAAGAGCATGATGTAATATAGGTCAGATGTCTTGATTCCGAGTTATTTGTAAGAGCATAATGTAATATAGGTAAGATATCTTGATTCCAAGTGATTAATAAGAGCATGATGTAATATAGGTCAGATGTCTTTATTCCGAGTTATTAATAACAGCATAATGTAATATAGATCAGATGTCATGATTCCGAGTGATTTATAAGAGCATGATGTAATGTAGGTAAGATGTCTTATGAATTATTAATAAGAGCATGATATAATATAGGTCAGATGGCTTTATTCCGAATTATTAATCAGAGCATGGTGTAATAAAGGTCAGATGTCTTGTTAAGAGGAAAAAATAAGAGCATGATGATATAGAGTCAGATGTCTTGATTCTGAGTTATTAATACGAGCATAATGTTATATAGGTAAGATGTCTTAAATCCCAGTTATTAATAAGAGCATGATGTAATATAGGTAAGATGTCTTAATTCCGAGGAATTAATAAGAGCATGATGTAATATAGGTAAGATGTCTTTATTCAGAGTTATTAGTAAGAGCATGATGTAATATAGGTAAGATGGTTTTGAATTACATTGATCGGGATATCACTTGCAACTACATTTTTTTTTAAATTTCCAGCAGGTGTGGCATAATAAAGAACAAGCCCTTTTAAGTAATTCAATATATTTATCTAATATAAATGTACATCCACACAAAGGCAAACATACAAATTGAGGACATACATTTTGTTAATTTGAAAGTTTCAGTATTCCGTTTCCTTCGACAAAACTTTTGTTGCGATGGATACACAAAAAAATATCTATAATTTGAATAGATAAGTCACCTTTCCTTCCTGTATTTTTGTTGTTGATTTAATTCAATTTTAATTATATAATTCAATTTAATATAAAAAATATCACCTGTTAGAGCTTAGAAAGACAGCAAATCCATGCAGTATGTCTGTATTCTTTATTATGGCCTACTCAAATTTATGATTTTGTGTATGAAAGAATCAACAAAATCAATTTAAAAACTTGAATCTACAATTTCTAACCAATGAATAAGTTGGCTATTTTTCAACATGATCAACAAAGGCACACACTGACAAACATACTCATATTTTGCATTTTAAAAATTTAAAACAATCATTTATTTCAAAGTAGTTATAATGCTACAAAAATCAAGGTCATTGTTAAGTTTTAGCATACTTCCTAACAAACATTTGCAATCAAAATAAATCAGTCTTAATTTAAGATTAAAGCCAACACTTCATTACAAAGAACCATTCTTTAACATTTACAACTGACAACACTTGCGTACAATAATTCAAACAATGTCTTTTTACTGGCTGTACAGCACAGCACAGCGACCACAAACACAATAATCTGATCAGTTAACAATAAAGTAATACATCTGTTACAGAGAAGAACATTTCCAGTAATTGTACCAGTTATTACATTTTTATGACAAGAGCAACGTTAAAATTCGAAACTTAAAAGGGGCATTACTCAGAAAATGTAAGCTTTCACAATAATGTCCCTTGTCAAACTACTGCACAGCAAACATTCCAAGTTTCATTTTGATAACTAAGTAACGGGCTACATTAACAATTTTGCATGTCGACATCGACTACACATAGATTAATGACAACAAACAAGTTATCACATTATCTTGACTTTTTCTTCAAATGACTTCTATAGTATTTCTTAAAGCTATAGCATTAACAAGGTATACCAATTATAACTCATTTGTACAGTTAACAAAATAGTTCACCATTCAAACAATTAACCAGGTCTACCAATCACAAATATAGTATTAGCAATTATATGGTATACAAATAATAAATATGATACAAGTTAATAGGTATACCACCGTTCAATTTGACACCATTTAAACAGTTAACGAGTTACATATCTAATACCAGTTACAAAATACAACATCTTCCATGATGTACAACAATTATATAAATCTAATACAAGTAACGAAAATATCAATCCAATCTCACTGATTATGTGCAAAAATGATGAGCTAGTTCAATTACAGTTTCCGCTGATATACATGCAACTGATAATTTGTCACCTTAGTGCAATAACGTGTTAATTCCTATTAACTTAAATAGGAGTTAATCCGTAATTGCACTAAACTGACAAATCATACTAAAATAGTATGTAACAATGACTCCATATGGTATATGTAGTACAATAATTTTGATTTAGCACCGGAAAAGTTTTCTAAGCGTTTAGGATTTTTCGAACCATGTAGTTGAGGATGCCTCCATTTCTGAAATACACAAGCTCTACCTCTGTGTCGAACCGAGTTTTCACTTGGAATGTCTTGTCACCTGACACCTGTAATAAAACATATTCATTGTCATTTATTTATACTCTATGCACTGTAAATAGCCACATGAACACATTTGCCGATGTTTCAAAGTTCTACATTTTATCATTTTATGTTTAAATGTTGAATACTTCTTAAACCAGTGCCAGGGTTATGGACGGTAATTTTGCACTTTTCAGTACCGTCCATGAACAGCCTCGATTAAATCGAGCCTGCAGCATTTTAATTTTGTCATTCTTTAGGGATTCTGTTTTTCACTATTTTACAACCTAATTGACCACTTAGGTAGAGCATCACTAGGTGATGGCAGGGTGAAAATCATATAGTTAAAACTTCTGCAAAAATAAATTCATTTATTAAAATGAATTTTTAATATGCCGATTATATTATATTCCTGGAAGAGCAAAAAAAAAAGAAAAAAAGAACAAAACTTTTTTTCCAAATACTCACCTTAACCTCTACAGTTTGACCTGGTTGTAAATTCTGTGGTAGATCAACAGTGATAGTTTCTTTACCGGACAGACCGAGGCTGGTGGCATTCTGGCCGTCCAAATACTGGAATGGTATGATACCCATACCAACAAGGTTACTGCGGTGAATTCTCTCGTAACTCTCGGCGATGACTGCTTTCACACCCTGAAATTTATAGAAATAATATTTAACCCTATCTCCAGATCTATATCTTTATAGCTGAATATTAAATAACACGTTGTGCAACTGAAACTTGGGCATTTTCTAACTTTATAACATGATAACCAATTTCCATGTGTTGCATTTGACAGTTTATCGAAAGTGTTATTCACCAGGGCTGCATTTCATAGAAAGTCTTAAGTCTAAACTTTGTCTTAAGATCAAAACTTAGACAATTTCCGTTTAAAAAATGTCCTTACTTATAGCGACGTTTATGACAAGTTTTGTTGCAAAGAAAGTGTCCTTAACTCTTTATCTCTTCAATTTTTGAATAGCGATGCTAATGAACATTTAACACATCCCACAATGAAGTGCATGGATTTGTAGTTTGTAACTTTTAGACTCAACAGAATGACTTTAATTGCAATCTAAAATTTTTACTACAGATGAAAATATTTATTGAAATGATCTTAAGTTAGTCTTATAGTTTTGTCATTTGTCCTAAGACTTAAGATTCACTTAGGACTTTCTATGAAACGCAGCCCTCGTCATATTGTTAAAAACAAATTCAACGCCATTATAAAATGTGGCGCTAAATTTAACTGACTAGTATTTAAAACAAATTGATAATGGCATTAACTTATATATATTTAGCTGACCTATCAAAAATCAACAGTAAGTAAAACAACATACATCACACATGTACATTGTATGTACAAAACAAAGTCAGGCAGCATTCTTTCCGTCAAAAATACAAAGAACACACTAAAAAAGATATTTTGCAACACTTCCTTATGAACATTTACCCACTTTAAAAATGTTTGGAATGCTAAAAATATGTAACAGCCTCTGAGCGTTCTGTCCACTTATTTAGGGCATTTTTGTGTTAAAAAGGTAATTAGAAAACTTTGAAAAATTATGAAATAAATTAATATAATCAAAAAGCTGTTAAAGGCATTAATGCTTTTATTTTGATTTCATAAAAGTTTTTTATTGTAGTTTTCAAAAAGTTGATCATTAACCTGATATTGCTTCTCCTGCCTTGTGGTTTTTAGTACAGTCAAAGTGGTTTAGTATTTTGTATGGCAATCAAAATACTGCTTTGAAATTGTTTACATTTTAGCTTCTTTCATGACATATAAACTAACATTGCGCGCATTTTATTTAGGCAATAAGTATCTAACATGCTCAAAAACCATTATTTCAAAGTTAAAACACTCATGTTTGATCTTTCAAAAGAAAGAAAATTTCTGGTGCATAATGTGCCTATAAGTTTGGTGAATTTCCAAGTCTATGTACATCGCTCATGTGATTATTCAAAGAGGCCATAGCTTTGGACATTCACCTCATTTTCGGACACTTATTGTAGAATAAGAACAAGTTAAATATCACATGATTTATAACACTTAATTACATGCTTTTCTGTGATTTATAGAAATATATCAGTGAAATATAAAACTGATATTTTCACAGTTTCTAACAGTGAAAATATCAATATGATTTTTTTTTACTGTTTTGAATTTCAGCCTGTTGTGTTTTTTCAGTGAAATACCAGCGTGCATAGTGCTGGCAACCAACTTAATGATGTAACATCGTAATTGATGTCATATTGTATCATTATTTGGCGCGCTTTTCATTTTCTTCATATGACACTGCAGTACTGCTTGGTTCCAGGAAGCTGACTGGAAAGTCATTAATAAAAAGTGCAAGAACTTGTTTCGCAATCGAGCTTAAATAAATATTCTTAAATCATGATACATCTGTACTTATGCTTGACTTACCAGGATCCACGGTCCTTTGGCGGCCCAGTCACGCGATGAACCCGACCCATATTCCTTGCCGGCCAGGATAACTACCTGTTTACCCTCTTTCTTGTATCTCTCCGCGGCATCAAATATATCCATCTAATGTAAAGAAAAAAAACACCAAACATTTTAATCTGTTTTAGTCTTGATAACATTAAGACATTATTAAAATTGGTACATTGTATGCTTAAAATCTGATATGTCATATGCTTAAAATTTGGAATGCCATGTTTCAAAATTTGGAATGTTGTATGCTTAAAATTTGGTATGTGTTATGCATAAAAGTGGTATAATTCAGGCTCAAAATCTGGTAACTCCAAATTGGGGTTTATGAAAGCATATGACATACCAAATATAAAATACATCTGTCAATAACAAAGGTTTGCCTGCATGTGTGCCTGCTATTTTTGGCATTGGTGACCTTAACCTTGACCTAAATGTTCCCCAACTACACCAGAAGGAGGATTGTTTGTTTGTTTGTTTCATTTTACGCCTTTTCCCAACAATATTTCATTTTACGCCTTTTCCCAACAGTATTTCATTTTACGCCTTTTCCCAACAGTATTTCAGTCATATAGGCGGCTAGTTTCCTAACCATCGTTCCTGGAGAGTTACACCAGTACTAGACTACCTTCCTCCACGCTAAACTACCAAAGCATTTCCCGGGGATAGAACCAACGCCAGAGAGGTAACTGGATTAGAAGTCATGGATTCTAACCCCTTGACCAGGGAGGTGAACCACCCTAGACTTGTCCCTATTTAACATCAGTTGTTAAATAATGGCAGTGTGAGTGAAAGAATAAAAATTTTTTTTTTTTCTTAAAACCTTGACCTTTACCCAAGTGACCCCTAACTCAACCAAAAGTTAGAGGATCATTCATGGTATTCACTTACAAAATTGGAAGATCTCATTAAACAATTATTATCAGGAGACATTTGCAGAACTAAGTAGTTTAGCCATACCCTATTTTAAAAATGAATACAACCAAACACTGATATAACTATCTACTGAATTGGGAACCAACCTCTTCCTCAGTGGGCAAGTATAAAGTCCTGGCTCCTGGCTTGGACAGGAATTTATTGACAAGGCGAATATTGGCGAACGTTCCTCTTGCCATGACGGCATCATTTCCACGTCGTGATCCATAAGAATTAAACTCGCGTGGCGTAAGACTGTAAAATAAAAATGAACAAAGGGTCATTGTACTAGATCAATCAACATGAACTTTATTTTGTACCTTTACTTCTACTTGCCAATGTAGATTATGAAAATACATCCAAAACATATACAGAAGCAGGTGTCCGTATCTAAAACTATGTTACATAATGGAAATATTTCATACCAATGAAAACAACAACAAAAATGGTCAGGAAAAAAAAATCATGCAATTGGCATTTATAAACAAGACACTAAACAGAACATTCATTTTACTAAAACTAGTTAAAAAGGTATGAAAAGGAATTACAGACAAGTAATTATGGGTAATTATTCGATATATATATCCATGCATCATTGATATTTGTCATCCAATATCGATATATCGTTGATATGCTTAGCACTGAATCAATGACAACTCTACTGATACATACCCTCTGTTGGCTAGGTATCTTGCTGCTGGGCTGTTTCTGGCTATACTTCCAGCAGGGGAAATATGATCCGTCGTCACTGAGTCCCCAAAGTTCAGAAGCACATATGCATCTTTAATACCTTGTATTTTTGGCAATTCTCTTGTCTGTAAAAATAATGATTTGAGTTGTAGTTTAGTTTTTCAGGTACAAGCAGAAACCTATGTAGAAACCACCAACCTTCCACAGGCTACCTGGCCAGTATCCTCACATTAAAGTATCCTAATTCTCTTACAGGATTCGAACCTGTAAAAGACAGGGCAAGTGATTGTATATGGACAACCTTAACCACTCAGTCACAGAGACTTCAAGGTGCAAGGACACAGCAAGTCGTATGACAACATTTCAGCTGTCCTGGTGGAAAATGACCTCAGGTATTATGTCAGGCACAAACTCGTACCCGTGTCAACAAGGGTTAAAGTGACATTATGCCCATCAAATTGTAAATGGTAAATCTGAGATGACCCATGTTTGAACTCATCTGAGCAATTACCTAGACAAGCATCCTGACAAAGTTTGATGATGATTGACAGGCAAAATGTGACCACTGGAGTGTTAACGGACAAATGTGGACGGACGACAGACGACGGACATTCAATGATCCTAAAACCTCTCCTTGAGCTAGCTCAGGTGAGCTAAAAACCATGTGACCATCAAAAATTTGAAGCATGTTTCTATTTACTATTCAAGCAAGTATTTTAATGTCACTGAGGCTTACCATAGTTTCAAAGAAGGGCGGGCTTTGTATATATGTTGACTTAGTATCCCATGGATACAGGATTCCCTCAGGGGCATCTAATTTGTTCCATCTCTCATTTCCTTTCTGTAAAGATCAATTCATATACATGGTTATATAAATACCATACGTGAGTTTATATAAATTCCTTAACTATTGTTATATAAATTCCATACATGTAGTTATATAAGTTCCATACATGTAATTATATAAGTTCCATAGATGAGGTTATATAAATTCCACACAAGTGGTTATATTAACTCTATACATCAGGTCATATGAAGAAATCATAAGTGGATAGTTCAAATGGCTATAATTTACCTGCATCCTAGCATAAACTTCATTTAGCATGGATAGTTCAAATATAACTATATTATATGTGGATCCTAGCATAAATTTCATTAAGCATGGAAAGTTCAAATATAACTATAATCTACCTGGATCCTAGCATAAACTTCATTTAGCATGGAAAGTTCAAATATAACTATAATCTACCTGGATCCTAGCATTAACTTCATTTAGCAAGGAAAGTTCAAATATAACTATATTATACATGGATCCTAGCATAAATTTCATTAAGCATGGATAGTTCAAATATAACTATAATATACGTGGATCCCAGCATAATATTCATTAAGCATGGATAGTTCAAATATAACTATAATATACATGGATCCTAGCATAATATTCATTAAGCATGGATAGTTCAAATATAACTATAATATACGTGGATCCTAGCATAATATTCATTAAGCATGGATAGTTCAAATATAACTATTTATTTCATGCTTTCCAGTGTTTTATTGTAATATATCAGATAATTATATTCTGATAAACCACTAGTGAAATTTATAAAATATAATTTTCACTGTAGCCGGACTATATCTGAATGCGGATGAATAGAAAATCATAACGAAATGGAATAACAGGCAGAAATAAATGCTGTCATGCGTAAATTTTGCTTCTTTAGGAAAAGAAAGTCGATGTCACCAAACATCATGTTAAAAATGTAACAAAATTAGACAAAATTTAACAGAACTATATTTCAAAACTAATGATGTGACGTCATGATGTGATGATGTCACAAAGGAGAATGCGCGACATTACGCAGCAAAATCAGTAAAAAATACTTAAAATCACTTAAAAAGCATGAAATAAAAAGAAAATTTATTTGTTTTACATATAAGATTGAAATATATTTCATTCGTGAACACCAGCTATTATATTTTCACTCGTGGCTACGCCACTCGGGAAAATATTGCATCTGGTGTTCACTCAGTGAATTTATATTTCAATCTTACATGCAAAACAAACAAATATCCTCTATATTATATGTGAATCCTAGCATAATATTCATTAAACATGGTTAGTTCAAGTTTGACTACAACTTACCTCGATCCTAGCATAAACTTCATTAAACATGGATGGTATTACAAACTTGTTTTCCACAGTCTGAAAAAAAAATTCACAAACTTAACTCTATGTACACAAAAATAATATTCACCACTAGAAACAAAAATAATTATGTGTTGCCTAGAAGAATTTTCAAAATGGTCACATTCAATGACAAAGCTTAAATATGTACATAGCCTTCTCATGAAGAAATTTTATATAATTGGAGAATCTTGTTTTAAGTCTAGAAGACCTTGACTCACATGATCTGAAACCCAAGCAACACATAGAGGTATACAGAAAGTATGTTTGTTTGTTTTGTTTGTTTGGTTTTACAGGGTATCTGAACACAGTATAAGTCATATAGCGCTGAAACAGGAAAGATGATTTTGGCTTGGGTGTTACAAACTTCAAAGCAGCACCAGTGGTCAAAACCACAACATCTGCTGGAGCTAAGAGATGCTAAGAGTCCAGTTATTTCAACCCATTTAGTCGCCTTGTATAATCACACAGAGATAAATGGTGGCTGCAATTCTTATGCAAACCATTTAAGGCAACCCCTCAGCCACAAAGGGCTCAAGGTAACTATGATATATAATTAATATTGTTCACTGTATAAAATAAAATATGACTTATATCACTCACTGGGTATCAACAAATCATAAATATCGCACAATGTATATTAAAGGACAAATTATTCATAAACATTCAGAGGAACAATATCACTTACTGTAATCATGGAAAATGATAAATATCACTCACTGCACATAGTGTGATATATTTGATAGCACTCGCTATGTATCATTTTAGGAGCAATATAAAAAAGATAAATGTTACACATACAGACACATAACTGTAGCTTTAATGTTGCCTTTTTTGTAAACTGAATAATAATTCTAAAACCTTTATTAACTTTAATGAATGAAATAATCAGGAACTTACATGGATCTCGTCTCTAGTAGGCCATATATCTCTTAGGTATACAGGTTTACCCTCTCCATCAGTCCCTGTATAAACAAACACAACAGTCACTTAAATCCTTTAACTTAAGTTTAAATCCAAGAAAAAAAACCAACATACGAGGGTTGTCCCAATATTCTGTGACAAGATTGTTTAAAAGCTATCTAGTTGTCCCAATATTCTGTGACAAGATTGTTTAAAAGCTATCTAAAATAGATACGAATTTGTTATCTTAATATGTGATAAACCCATATAATTGAAGCGTTTCACAAACTTACATAGAAAAATATCAACAAACAACAAGTATATGCCGTTAATACCATGGCAACTATCCGAATTGCGGTGCGCGTCAAACACGGCGTTAAATCTATATAAGGCTTCTTTTTCAAATACTCTCAATGGCTTTCAACGCAATAATGATGCAGCTTTACCCATAAATCGTCAATTACAGACTACCCATAAATCGTCAATCACAGACTTAAATCATTGGTTGTTAAAGTCTGTTGAATGTTTGGATGACATACATAAATTTTTGCTACACACGAACATCCGGTCTGGTTGCACATAGCTGTAGGAAATAGGAGACGGAGATCGGTCTTCCTATTCATGTTTTCCTTATTTTCGTTTTATTTTGCAGTGTAGAACTCTGGTTCCGTTCATGCCGTTTGTACACAAATGTTCAGGATATGTTTCTAAACTGTTCTATTTGGTATATTTGTTGTAAATCGTAACATGTGTCATCTCGAAATAGTCACAAAACCTGAATGACCTGTTCACTGCGCCGCAAATTCTTCGAAAGTCGCCATTTTAACTTTCCTATTTTTATGAGATATTTTCATTTATCCTTAGGCTGTTCGTTTCTTAAGTTATTTAACTAAAATTTTCTGAGATGATGTAAACATAGCAGCAGAGGAAGTCAACGTGGCATTGTGCAGACACATTATCAGATATTTGAAATATACGTAATTAATTTTAGCCTATTCGTATCAAAATACAAATTATTTGACGTGCGCCGGCAACTCAACCCAATGTCGTTAATACTGAAAATTTCTAAGTAACTAGAGAAAATATTTTTTAAATGATTTGTTATAATGTTTAATAATAAACTTAACGTAAATGTGTGTGAATTATTATCTATTTGCGTTAAAAATGAACCATCTATAAAATTTGTCACGGACTTTTGGGACAACCCTCGTATAAGACATAATGTAGTTCCCCCCACGTTCTACTCTTTTGGCCATCAGCAGATTGATACCAAGACAACAGGATCTATATACAGCCTTCTTCGGCTAAGTGCCTGTATAAAAATACATTTCACCCGAATTTCTTTAGGTTAAATAACAAGAGGGCCATGATGGCCCTGAAATCACTCACCTGTACATAGGCCCCTGGGCCAAGGCAAATTTTAAACCAGGGGCTTTCATTTGATTATTTGAACAAACAGACACCTATTAGAAGATGCTTCATGATATATATCTAAGCTCTAGCTCTTTTGGGGTTTTTATAAGAAGGTTTTTTAAGGTTTTACTATATACATAAAGGGAAAAACAATGATGCCTACTCCCTTTACTGCCCCCCCCCCTCCCTCCTGCCCCCACCCCGCCCGGGAGGGGCCAATTTTGACCCCAGTATCCCTTGATTCCTTTAGCCTACTGGAACCAAACTTCTTTTTTTAAAAAGAAAATATTTAGATTTCTTCATAAATTAACAGCAGCCATAAATTTTATTAACTTAGCCAATGAAAAGCAAGGTTACAAACATGCAGTATTGTAGCATTGAATATTAAAATATACAAGCTAGTTAGGCATTTCCATCATTATTTTGCTGCTACTGAAAACAGTGTTGCTTTATGGTGTAGAGGTTTCCCATAAAATATATTAAGCTATATTGTATAGAACTAGTAGTGTGTGCATAGGACACTGATTCCCCCAAATTCCCCTGTTTTGCCCATCAATGCCAGAAAGTATGACAGATTGAAAAGGTCGAATCCACAATGTGAAGGTATAGATAATACTTCAAGTGCCTCTTCTAACATTATTTCACAGGGGGATGTCTGAATATTATATCAGGTTTTAAAATTACATGTACTATAAATGCATTATTATTTGTAGGGCATTTATTTTCCTTATTTTTTGTGGATAGGTCATTCTACAAATACAAGATCCATTGAAATTTTGTTGTTACATATGCTGTATGATGATATTTGCTTTATATTAATTACTCTTTACATTTTTCTGCAAAAACAAGGCACTCAGAAGAACCTAAAAAAATGCCTTTTGTGATAAAACCACAATATTTCTTGCTCACAAATTTCACGTAATCTTACCTAGAGGTTCTGTCTCAAAGTCAATATTGACCCTGCCAGCTAATGCATAGGCTATCACAAGAGGTGGACTGGCTAAATAGTTTGCTCGTGTAAGTGGATGAATACGACCCTCAAAATTACGATTACCCGACAAAATACCACAGGCTACTAAATCACCCTGAAAAAAAAAAAAAAAAATAATAATTAGTTAACACATGGAAATCCCCCTCAAAATAACAGAAATGTGATCACATAGAAATTCCCCTCAAAATAACAGAGTAGTCAACACATGGAAAATTGCTCAGATTAACAGAGTAGTCAACACCCCTCAAAATTACAGAATAGTCGACACAAGGAAATCCCCCTCAAAATAACAGAAAAGTCGTCAACACATTGAAATCCCCTTAAAAAAATAAAGGAAAGTAAACACATGAAAAATCCCCCTAAAAAATAACAGGAAAGTCAACACATGGAAATCCCCCCCCCCAAAAAAAAAAATAACAGAATAATCAATACATTGCAATTCCCCTCAAAAATAATTGTTATAACACCCCAAGCCCCATTCACTTGTCACCTGCCCTCCCCACCCTCTCCTCACAGCCACACCCCCTCACCCCCCCCCCCCCAATGAAAATGAAAAAGAAAAAGAATATTTAGAATCTTACCTTTTCTATTGCTTCAGAGACAGGTTCCGGTAATGGCCCACTGTTTCCAATACAGGTCATACAACCATAACCCACAATGTCAAACCTTTGCAAAAAGACACAAAACATATAAGCTGAAGATCCATCTTTAAAACTAATTGGTATATTTTTTGTTTGCTCAACCACTAGCATTTCATAATCTAGCTGTATATTTCCTAACATGAACGATTCCAAAGTTCCAAGTGGGATTCGAACCAAAAGCATTGCGGGGCAAGAGGTATGAAGCCAATATCCTGAACTGCTCAGCCATGGACAGGTATTGTCTCTTTTGTTTGATTTCGTTTAGGTCACACCAACACAGTATAGGTCAAATGGAGATGTTCCAGCTTTACTGGTGGAGAAAAACCTCAGGTGCACTTCCGTGCATTATTTCAGAAACAAATGGGCATCAGAATAGAACCATCGAAGTTAGGTAAGCTAGCTGGATAGCTTCCTTACATGAAAGAATCCAAAGTTCCTGTCCCAATTTGAACCCACAGTGGTGAGTGGCAATTTTTGGCCCCTTCACAATTCAAATTGCACCTTGTTTTCCCCCAACAAAGTGGCGGGAAAAAAATCACAATTTCAAATGAGATTTCACAAATAATCAGGACTAGAATCCTCATCTTCGAAATTTATTGTTTGCCTTCCTGTAAAACTTGATTTTTGCTAATTGCCAAACACTTAAATAGTTTTAATCGAGTTAAATGGCATTTGTGAATGTTTACCGGGTTAAAGTACCAACTCAAAGTAGATTTTACACAGTTCAGAAACTATAATCAATCGTTCATCACACACTGTTTCCGGTTTCCAAATGTTTCGAAATGGCCAATATTATGTCATTGTTTTTGCATAATTTTATGACATATAGCACTTTTTTTTCAGAAAATGAACAGGCCTGGCCCTTTCACAACTTTGACAAAAAAATAACATTGAAGTAGACTCACTGTAAACTGATAAGTTTTCTCCATAAATATCAGATTATTTTGTTTAAAACTAAACAATAAGGAAAGCCGTGGCCTAGTGGTTAAGGTGTCTGCCTCTCAACCCAGAGATCATGGGTTCAAGCCCTTATAGGGTCACAACCATGTTTCTACATATCACACTAGAACTGGTTGGCTCCAGGAAGCGGACTCGGAGTGATTAATATAAGTTGCAAGAACTTGTTTCGCAATAGAGCTTAAATAAATATGTTTAAATCAAACAATAAAACCAAAGTTTATACACACCCTAATTTTTCCAAATATTCCGTCACCCCACTTTCTCTTAAATAGTACGTCACTACGCCACTTCCTGGTGAAAGACTTGTTTTTATGTAAGGTTTTACAGAAAGACCTGCTTCTACTGCCTTCTTCGCCAGAAGACCTGTGTATAGAATAAACAAGATATTATTTTCTCAGTTTTATACAGAGCAGACACTGTTATAAGATCCTATAACTGATATTTTGTTATGGTTTATCTCATAAATGAAGATTTATCAATACAGCAAGTTTCAAAAAGCATTATTTGTAAAGATATTACAAAATTTAGTATTTCATGTGAATAAAGGGAGGTAAATAGAAATTAATTTTCGATAAAGTCTAAGCCAGTTTTTTTTTTCAATCAAAAAAAAATAAAAATGAATGCATTAATTTTAATGTTTAATTCTATTGTACAATAAAATTTGCTGTACATATTTAACATATTCTTGGATGTCCAGACTGCACGGATGCGCAGGCTGGTCTGGATCCATGCTGGTTGCAAACCCATTATGTTCATATATAAAACTTTACTTAAGTAAATGTTACATCCTTAATTACAACATTATGTTACATCGAGTGATGGTTTATAATAACCACATGTAAAATAAACAAGAGCACGGCAAGCAGTGTAAATGCTTGTCTGTTAAAATAACATTTTATAACAAAAAAACCCATATTAACCCTTATCATGCCGAGTAAACTACCACTGCTAACTACTGCAGTGCCGAATTAATTTATGTGAACATCCGCTGGGTTAAGGTTTGCTCATTTTCTGACTGATCAAAATAATTATCAGTGTCACTAGACTTAGAACTAGTATTATACATATTTTCATCATCAAACAATTGTTCTAAGACATCTTGCACATGCATTTGTCTATTTTGCCCTTTCTGCCATTTCTCTGAACTTTTTACAAATGAATAAAACTGAAAACATTCCCACCATTCAGGATAATTTATGTTTAACTTGACCCAAGATTATAGAAACAATTAAGATAACTTCTCCTGCATTCACTGGTAATTATTTCTTATCAGTATGACAGTGCTGATTAGTGTATTCCCCGTGTGTATTGGATTACTAACAAATCCGTGATATCTCGATGTTGGCTGCTGTGGTAAGGACATGAAATCCGGGATATCTCGGTGTTGGCATGATAAGGGTTAAAAAGGGACATAACTCCATTAAAATAGCTTCCAGAATATTTCTTACTTGCTAACAACTGTCTGTTTTATTATAAGCAAGTATTCCAAGTTTAATAAAGATATCTTTTAAATTTTTTCAGAGTAATGGGCTACATTAAAGCTTTTAAATGACAATGACACAGCAATTTCTTCAGACTCTAAAGCTATAGGACCTGTGCCAATTATGTTGGATAATCACGGAGGAAAAGTTTCAACCGATTCTCTTCAAAGTTTTTTGACATAAGTTTTGGACAGAAGTTTTGAACATACCAAACTAACAGGCACGAACTTAACAAATTACAGGTACCACTGACATAGGGTGACGGGTCGAGTAAAGTTACTAGGTTACCCCTATTCTCAAAAAGTCGAGCTAAAAAGTTAAACTCTCACCTGCTCCTAACATCACAGAAGGATTACTTGTATTGGTACAGCTAGTTATGGCCGCTATTACAACAGATCCATGATTCAAGGTGTACTCCTGGCCATCAAACACCAGTGGGACGGTTATGGACTGTTTGTCTTCTGGAATACCAAATCCCTGTGGAAAACAAAAAAACACACCCAAGTATTTTGATTTTTCATTTTTTATATAGAGGATATTGAATGAGTGTAGGTTCAATACTGATTCTATTGAACGAGTTAAATAAAATTATAGTATGCCAGCCTCTGAACAAGTTCAATAAATTTAGTAAAATTAAATGAACCCACACAAATATAATTATTCTATTTATCAAATACCCAAAATGAAGACTGTTTAAAGTGCAAAAGAATATTTTTTCATTGACACACCTTTAGTGTAATATTTACATTTAGCGTGTCATTACACTACGTTTATATAACGCAAATGATGTCACATCAAAATATATGTACGGCCTTGCAAAACCATATTTACAGAGTCGCCGCAAAACCATATTTACAGAGTCGCAAAATCGGCAGGGGTGTCTGATAAACATGTATATAAAGTTTCCATGAATAAAATATTTCCCTCTATTATCTTTTCCCCTTGGACTATTGACTACGTCATCCATTTTATCCATTAGAAATAACCACTAAAAATGTGACCCCTAAAAATAAGTACGGAAACAAATCAGGTGCAATTTAGCTTAATATCATGTACAGCAGCATATGTTTGTTTATGTTGTGTTAAAATTGAAATAATATTTCAAAATCGGTGATTTTATCGCTTGATAAAATCACTGTTTGTCGTTCGGATGTGCATCAGGCTATGCCCTTGTAATATAATTCCAGAGATTTTACTGAGCGATAACGTCACAGTTATGGATATATTATTTCTTAATTAACTTACCTTAAAACTGGGTTTATTATTTAGACAGTCTCTGAAATCTGTCCTCATATCAGCAACAGTGACCTTGTCATGGGGGCGTTTTGGTCCAGAACAGCAGGGGGTCACTGAGGTCAAGTCTAGTTCTATAATCTACACAAAAATAAAACAATAATAAGTGTTAAATAGAATTTTAATTTATTCATCATTCAAATATCATATCAGGGGCTTATATTACAACTTTGTCACACAATCTTACCCAGTTTGCTGTTTATAAGAGGAATATTTAGTTATTTCCTCTCCCTAATATCAGAATGTTTCCGGATATTTTTTGAAAAAAAGGAAGAACAAATATATTTAAAAGGCAATATTTTTTTCATTAAAAGAAAAAAAAAGAAAACTAGATCTAATTAATTATTTGCTCTACCAAAATATCAGAATACTTCACGACAAAGAAAGTACAAGACAATTTGATAGAAAACTTTTATTCATGAAAAAAGGTAGTCTGAAAACTAATTATTTGCTCTACCAAAATATCAGAATATTTCTTGACAAAAAAATACAAGACAGTTTTAAAAGAAATTTTTATTTATGTAAAAAGGTACTTTGAAAACTTATCAATTATCTGCTCTAACAAAATATCAATGTCTCAAAATATTTCTTGGAAACAAAAAAAAAAAAAACATACAAAAAACATACAAAAAGATTTGACAAGCAAATTTAATTCAACACAACTAGGGGCGTCACTATTATCTGTTTAAACGGGTACAGTGGAGTTTTAGCCAAAACCGGTAAGAAAATTCAATAATAGTTAACTGAGGTATGTATAATACCAATAGCCAAAGAAGTTTAAGAATTATTCTTTATATTATCTTTACATTATTAGGACAAGAGTAGACATGTTGTTTTTTAATTTGGTCGTACAGACGTGTGTTGTTTTTTTTTAACTCAATTACATGCTTTCTAATTGTGTACGGTACGGTCGTAACAGAAATCAATTTCTTTTCAAAACTTGTTGAGTACAACAAAATACGAAAACAAAATGGCATATCTTGTCATAAAGAAACAAAGTTGATGTTGAAAATCTTGGGAGTTCTTTTTGTATCAACGGTTAACTGTTTTACACGGTTATTATGTCGCCATTTAAACAGTTAGCATTTAAGCTTACCTTGACACCCCTACTAAAAATTATCGATTTTCTAAAAATGTGTATCGATTATTGATCGACAAAAAAATTTCAACGATACATCAATATTGTAATATCGATGAGAGTTCTACTTGACACCCCTATTTAAAACTAACCTGAGAGAAGATAGGATCCTCTGAGGCATCTCTGAAATTCCTGAACATTTGATTGGCTTTGAGGTAAGCTTCTATGAGGGCTATTTTTCCATCGTCTCTCCCTGTATACAAAATACATAACATATGAGCCGCGTAACGACAAAACCAACATAATGGGTTTGCGACCAGCATAGATCCAGACCAGCCTGGGCATCCGCATGACGCCGCTCTCATCACATTTGATCAACAATAATACACAAATAGAACATTTTTCTTGGCTTAGTTTTTGTTGTTTTTTTTAATGTTCTTCAGATATCATTATATCATTCATATAATTTTTCATTCACATTATTCCCTGATCAAATAATTATTTCATGTATTTCCCTGATCAATTAATTATTTCAAGTCCTCTACTTATCAATTGATTAATTCATGTTCTTTGTTAACATTTTTTTTATATTCTTTCATAATCAATTTATCCTTTCATATTCTTCCAAATTTATTATTTAATGTTCTTTGGATAATTAATTAATTAATTACTTTGTTAGCAAATCATTTTTTCATAGTCAATTAATTTTTTCATAATCTTCTTTTATCAGTTGGTTATTTCATGTTCTTAAGTCATCTACTGATTATTTCATATATAAATCAGTTCCTTCTTAAGTTATGAACAAATAATTTCATGGCCATCAGTTATAACTTTAACATTTGTATGTCCCCCCATTGTCAGTTGATTATTTCATGCTATTCCCTATTTAAAATATTCTTATTATTTTATGCTTTTCCCCCTTTTAATTTAATAATTTTATGTTCTTCCCTTATCTTTATTTATTTCTATGTTAAATTTTATCTTTTCTTTTCCTTATAAAAATATATTAAAATTTTTAAAAATTTTTTCACCACTGTGGTTGAAACCCGACAGGATTTGGATTCTTTTAGGATAGGGAAACTATCCAGCTAGTATGGAATTTTGGTGGTTCTACTCAGGGGCCATTTTTGCCCCGAAAAAAATCTGAAAAAATGCCTGGGAAAGGGACCTGAAAAGGTTTTCCCCCACCCGTAAGCTGAACTTGCCAAATGACCTCACTTTGTCGGTGTGACCTAAAACCCAAATCAATCAAAATCAAAACTTTTCTTACTCAGGAATTAAAGTGGGAAAACCCTAATTGCCCACTGGAAATGCCTCCCCCTTTTTTAGAACAGAAGAAATTTTTTATGGAAACCTAAAAAAACTGCTTAGGACTTACCCGTTTGCCAATACGAAATTTTTTTTTCAAATGGGAGAAACCCCAAAGTCACCCTACCTGGGCAATGTTAAGTGGTTGCTCTATCGCGATGACAGCCAGCAAACCCGGTCCAAAAATTCAACAAACTTTTCCCCCCACCCTATGACCCCTAAATGCTGGAAGGAAATCAGTCAGTCGTCTGTCAAACAAACAATCAAGTTTAAAAAAAATGAAAAATGACGTAAAATGTTTGCTAAAAAAAAAAAGAGCTGTCGAGCACAGCCCGCTTTCCATTCCAGTGCTTGGGGTACATTAGACCAGGATATGGTAGAAAATCTAAATTTAAAAAAAAATAAAATTTTATAAAAATAAACTTAGGATTTTTGGGCTTGGGGAGTGCTCTCCATTTGCTTTAAATACAATTTTAATGTTCAAACCCATTTTTTTAAGTAGTTTACGAGATCCAACTTTCACACCAAAAAATTAACCAAAGTTGATGTTGAAAACTGGCGATACTACGGTAGCACTAGGTAATCCCAAACCACCCGAATGCGCTCCCAAACCTCCAAAAGGGCCCCGTGAAGTTAAGTTCATGTGGGGCTTTCCCCCGTCTTCCTGGGGACACCCGGAGAGCCCCGGTTGACCAGGCAGAGCCCCAAAAAACCCCCGGACAATCCAGGGGGGGCCCCGTGGATTTTTAAAACGCCGAAAAGATTTCTTTATACATAAAATTTTTTTTAATACAAAATTTTGTACCAGAACAGTAATCTATGATGATTTTCTGAAAAATCCTTATGCAAGACTGGATGGAAGGGAAATAGGAAGGGTTTTAACACAAATAAATTGAATCATCGCAAATTGTTGGATTCTTTTGAAATGAACAGAGCTTCGCTGGCGCTCTATCAGGTTCAACTGTAGCTCCATTTCCATCCTAAGAGACTCTGCCGGCATTTACCGGGACTCTACCGTAGCTCTACCAGCAAAATCACACCCAGGATCATCATTATATCTGTTTTTAGTTTTAGGAATTTCAAATTAATTATGTAATTATTATGTAAAACACAACTTCATAAACTTATTAATAAAATAAAAATAGATTACCTTTGTAATGGTAAGGACAATGTCAGTTGAGGTTGTTAATGGATTTGGTTCACCAGTCAGTTTATATCCCACTACTTCTGGCAGTACCATACTAATAGATTGACCTAACATCACAGCTTCAGCCTCTATACCTCCTACACCTGTAATATTATATACACATCATTATATTCTAACTAAACTGGCACTATTCCCGATTGAACATAGAAGGATTGAAATTGTGTGTTATTATGCAATAAAATCACTGTTATCGTTCTATATTTAGACATGTGACATAACCATTAGATATGTGATGTAACTAATGAAAATGTGACATGCTGAAAATAAGTACGGAAACAAATCAGGCACAATTTAGCTTAATATCAGGTACAGCAGCATTTATTTGTTGATATCATGTGAAAAACGAAATAATATATCCAAATCAGTGATTTTATTTCTTGATAAAATCACTGTTTTGTCATTCCGATGCACATCATTATTTCACTCGGGCTATGTTCTCGTGATATAATTCCTTGCATTTTTTTTTTACTAACTTTGATTATTTAAAGATGTATTTTACTCATCCAGAGTCATGCTGTCAATAAGATATGAATAAATTTTTCTGTCTTACCCCATCCAACAATACCCAGTCCATTTATCATAGTGGTGTGGGAGTCTGTTCCAACAAGACTGTCCGGATAGAGTACACCTTTGTCGTTGAACACAACGCGAGCCAGGTACTCTAAGTTCACTTGATGTACGATACCGGAACCGGGCGGCACTATCAACATGTTCTTCAATGCGTTAGCACCCCACTGAAAACAGTAAATTGACTAAATACACAAAACATGTTCTTCAATGCGTTAGCACCCCACTGAAAAACAGTAAATTGACTTAATTCTCAACATGTTCTTCAATGCATTAGCACCCTACTGAAAACAGTAAATTGACTAAATAATCAATATGTTCTTCAATGCGTTAGCACCCCATTGAAAACAGTAAAATGACTAAATAATCAACATGTTCTTCAATGCGTTAGCGCCCCACTGAAAATTAAATTATGTAAACTGGTTTGTACAGAATTCATTTTAGTTTGATTGTGTATTAAGCTATAAGCTTAAAGACAGACTTTTGTTTCCGTTCCTGCAACCAACCAGTACTGAGCAATGAGTGTAAAGTTTCTTGCTCATGGAAACAAAGACTTGCTCCTTAGTAAATTAACTAAATACTCAATATGTTTTTCAATAAACAAGCATCATACTAACTAATACCATAAATTTAATATTCAACATGTTAGCACCCAACTGGATTAAATACTCAACATGTTTTACAATAAACAAGCATTCCAACTTACTAAAAGCATTAGTTTAATATTCAACATGTTAGCACCCAACTGGATTAATTAAATTAACATAATAATTGACAAGTTCTTCAATGTTTAATTAAGAATTAAATTAATTTAATACTCAACATGCTGTAGCCATCCCTAATAAATTCACAAAACTAATTTCTTCAATAGTCTTAGCACCCCACTAATAAGTATTTATTCTTTTCAACTGGCTCACAACTTTTATGTGAGCTAAACTTTTGTATAAGAAATAAGCTGCGTATTAAATTCGAATAAGCTATTTTCTGTTAAAATATGACCATTTAATAACAATCCTACCAAACAGCAAATGTTAAATAAATTTGCAGCAAAATCTAACACAACAAATTAGTGATTCTTTTCCTTAAATAACAGAGTTTAAAGGCCACTACCCAACTGAAATATTCTTGAAAATCATGCAGTTTGGGTTATGCTTGCTTTAGGGTACACTTTAACCTTTCTATGAAACTACAAATGTAGCTCAGTCATCTAACTTTTCGGTAGACTTACCTTTTGCTAAAGCCAACTTTTGGGTAGACTTCCCTTTTGCTAAAGCAAACTTTTGGGTAGACTTAGCTTTTGCTAAAGCCAACTTTTGGGTAGACTTAGCTTTTGCTAAAGCCAACTTTTGGGTAGAACTACCTTTTGCTAAAGTCAACTTTTGGGTAGACTTCCTTTTTGCTTAAACTAGCAGTAGCTGGGTCTAACATTATGTAGAACCTTAGCAATTTGTGGGGCATTTTACAGTAGATATTAGTACAAATATCAAATTAACATGAAAACTTTGCACTTACCTTGAGAAAAACAAATCTTTCCTTGTTCCTTTCAAATTCCAACATCTGATTCTTCTCTAAGGCATCAGCACTAGAAGATAAAGATGCAGATATAAATAACAACTTGCAGGCTATGTTTTTTTTTCATTGCATTACTTTAAATCTATTTAAAAATTCAATGTTAAAATTTTCCTTACAGGGACTCCACTGAGATTTTTTGACATGACGATGACTGGAAATATTTTTCCCAAGATTTTTGTACCATTTGATGTAGACCAGACCAATAACTTCTGTGCACATTTTCATATCATACTCACCCAGTTTTTCCAAAATAATCATATTTGGTGTGCGAAATGACGGCAAAATTATTTCAAAAGTTTCACACAAAATCAATATTCAATTTAAATTCTGAGTAAATTTCTTTACTTTCATCTTCAGATATTTCCCTTTAAGTGCTTAACTTAATCTATGAAAGAATTCCAAATTTTATATTTTTTAGGCTTTTTGACCTCAGTGGAGCCCCTTTAAAGGAACTTTTTTAAAAATAATTTTATACAATATACCATTAAGTTGTGTGCAAAAAATTAGAATATACCCTCAGAATAATAATTTCTATTGTGCAAAATTAACATAAAGATGAAAAGCGTTAAAATGCTTTAAACTAAATCATGCTAAGAATTACCCTAATCTAATCTTGTATGTATATTTTTTCTATCATCTTTTAAAAATATTTCCCCTTTAAAACTGCATGCCTCCAGATGAGCCAAAATATTTCAAGAAAATTCGAATTGAGTAAAATTACTATAATTTCAAGAACAGTAAAAAAATATTCCATAATTTAAGAAATAATTTACATGTTATGTGCGATTATTACATGACTGATTTTGCAGTATTTATCACCATATATCTACTGCATTTTTAATGCAGTATGGGCTATTTTGGCAAATTTTGACCTCTTTTTTGGTTATTTACATAGGTTGTAATTAAGTGTAGTTTGCAATGTGAAAACTATTTTTTTTTCACTTCACAATAATTTATTTTTGAGTACATTTTAAAAAATTTCATGAAAATTAGCAGGGTTGACCTGGTCACAGAAGATTTTGTTTTTATGTATGACTAAGTCATAACAGACTATAACCTTATTATTATATGGACAACATTCAATAATTTGATTCCAACCAATTACTTGGAATTCACTTAATTTCCTGAACATAAAAGTTCTTGGTCTTGCCAAAGAGGACATTTTCGATGGTTCTTAAATGCGTGAAATGTCTGTTTTTAAAAAAAATGTAAAATGCAAATACTGTAATATAGATATTGGTACAGCAACGAAATAAAATTTCTTTGAATTTAATTTTAATTTTGGAGTATATAAAATACTTACAGATTATATGAAGGCAATTATAGAATATGTTACATAAAATGTACATTGCCTCAATAATAAGAAGGAAAAGCAAAAAAAGATTGGGTGTTTTTTTAAAATATGAAATAAATAAACAATTTTGAAGAAATGCAAAGGAACATTCAATCAAAAGAAGTCACAACTGAAAGTTCAACAGAATATGGTTGAAAAACAAACCATCAGAAATTTATATAATATATACATCAAATACTTAATTTCGTGGGCATGAAATTTCGTGTTTTTTGTCACTTTTGTCAATTTTGTTGGTTCTTAAATTTGTGGACAGTTTATTTTTTCCAAAAGGTAAAATGTAAATAATGTGATGTAAAACAATTTCCCAACATACAAAAATGTAATTTTGTTGGATCTATAATTAGTTGATTGGCCTATCCACGAAAACCACGAAAATTAGTGCCCCACGAATAATAATGATTTTGCAGTACTTTCAACATTAAATAACTATATAATGTACATTTGCGATATATAATATATGCCTAGCAACAAATTTATACACTGCAGCCTAATGACATAATTGATAAACAATTCCTTTAGTTTAAATAATGATTTTTTACTATCGTACAGATTGTATACAATTAAAAAGGAAAATTAGATGAAACTGCAATTCTAGTGGATTATGTGACTTTGATGGAAATTACAAATGTGAACTGTTTGTTTTTTTGGATATTATTCCGATTTGAACATTATATCAGTCATTTTTTGTAGGTGCGAGTTTACATCACACCGACACAGTATAGGTCATATGGCGACTTTCCAACTTTATTGGTGGAGAAAGACCTAAAGTGCCCCTTTTTGCATTATTTCAGACTCAAACAGGCAACTGAGTAAAACCATCGGCGTTCTGAAAGCTAGTTGAATAGCTTTCTCACATGATATAATTCGAAGACCCTGGCACAGCTTGAACCTACAGCAGTGAGAGGCAAACAGTTTGAAGTTAAAGACCTTAACCACTCAGCCACGAACATATCCTGCTACAAGAATTTTGCAGCTAGTCCCGCAAAGCAGGTGGCCCTGAAAATAATTTCTGAACCCTGTAACACAATAACACATGTGCCACATACACCTTCCCATTGTGCCTCTCCTAAAAGGTTTTTTTTTTTTAATTCTATACTTTGTTTGAAATACAAGCTTTTCATTGGTTGATTATCTTCACAAATTCAAAATTGACCAATGACATCAAAGAAATTCACAGACTGGTTTAGAAAAACAATTACATTGATTTTGATTGGTTACTTTTTGTGGCAAATTTAAAATTGACCAATCAAAGCAAATATAATAAAAACTAGAGGATGCTTTTGTAAAAAAGCGCATGTCTCCCCCACTGCACTGTGACCTTGACCTTTGACCTACTGACCCCAAAAACAATAGGGATCATCTGCTCTATAAGACCAATCATCCTATGAAGTTTGAGGGCTGTAGGTCAAAAGGAACTCTAGTTATCATCCGGAAACGAGAAATTGACCAACGGTCACTGTGACCTTGACCTTTGACCTACTGACCCCAAAAACAATAGGGATCATCTGCTCTATAAGACCAATCATCCTATGAAGTTTGAGGGCTGTAGGTCAAAAGGAACTCTAGTTATCATCCGGAAACGAGAAATTGACCAACGGTCACTGTGACCTTGACCTTTGAACTACTGACCCCAAAAACAATCAGGATCATCTGCTCAATAACACCAATCATCCTATGAAGTTTGAGGGCTGTAGGTCAAAAGGAACTCTAGTTATCATCCGGAAACGAGAAATTGACCAACGGTCAGTGTGACCTTGACCTTTGACCTACTGACCCCAAAAACAATAGGGATCATCTGCTCTATAAGACCAATCATCCTATGAAGTTTGAGGGCTGTAGGTCAAAAGGAACTCTAGTTATCATCCGGAAACGAGAAATTGACCAACGGTCACTGTGACCTTGACCTTTGAACTACTGACCCCAAAAACAATAGGGATCATCAGCTCTATAAGACCAATCATCCTATGAAGTTTGAGGGTTGTAGGTCAAAAGGAACTCTAGTTATCATCCGGAAACGAGAAATTGACCAACAGTCACTGTGACCTTGACCTTTGAACTACTGACCCCAAAAACAATAGGGATCATCTGCTCAATAAGACCAATCATCCTATGAAGTTTGAGGTCTGTAGGTCTAAAGGAACTCTAGTTATCATCCGGAAACGAGAAATTGACCAACGGTCAGTGTGACCTTGACCTTTGACCTACTGACCCCAAAAACAATAGGGATCATCAGCTCTATAAGACCAATCATCCTATGACGTTTGAGGGCTGTAGGTCAAAAGGAACTCTAGTTATCGTCCGGAAACGAAGAATGGACGGACTGACGGACTGACGGACGGACGGACTGACGGACAGGGCAAAAACAATATGTCTCCCCCCGAGGTGGGGGAGACATAATTATTCAATTCAAAGAATGGTAACAATCTCTGGTTTTATAAACTTTAAACCAAACTGAATTAAATGTGAAACCCGTCAGATAAAATCTATCCCTTTAAAGCCAATACACCTGAATAGACTTACAGTACACCTAAATAGACTTACACCGGAATTAAGAATATTTTGAGTTTTTCCCAGCTAATCCATAGGTACAATCAAACTATTGCAGTTAGAGCTTCGAAAAACAAGCGCAACAGTTTGACTAATCTATTATGACAGGTAGTGCACCATGAATGAGTACCAAATAACATCTATTTATAAAGTTCTCTATGTACATATTAATTAAATCTAAAGATAATTTTTATTGAATATGAGATAGACTACTGTAGAATCAGACATTTTTGTGAAGGATCAAATTTTGACTAATTTTGCAAAAATATATGATTGCTAAGCGCCTACTCTATAACTAAAAGTAGAAACTTATTTAAGGACAAAAATTAAGATGTAATATTTAAAGATAAATAACAATAATAACTAAATAAATTAACAATAAGATAAAAATGATCAAGATCAATATTTTGATCAACTTTTAAACAAACTTTTTGTTGGGTGGGTTTTTTTATTACATTTACTACCAACAGGTACTTTTTTCTAGAAGAGGAAGAGAAAAAACTAACATTTCTTCCATTTGACCTTAAAGGCCCATTATGACTCAGAAATCCAATTTTTTATTTTAGAAATGTCAAACATGTGTTTAATAATGTTTAAATATGGATTAAGAGCATGTGTGATGTTTATCTAATGAAGAGAGTAGCACTGAACATGCAGTTATGTGCTGTCAAAGGTTACAGCAAAATGTAAACAAAGTAGTATATTTTGACTTCCATACAAAATACTAACTCACTAAAACTATTCCAAATGCCATCAGAACTTAAAATGCAAAAGATAAATCATGTATATATCAAATGAGAATATTTATGGAAACTGTAACAAGATACCAAAAATATTTTGGTAAACAGGTTTTTGACGAATAAAAATGATAGCATTTCTGAGGCATAATAGGTCTTCAGTAAGTCTTTTGTCTATAAACCTCTAATATATAAGATACTCCACCAATCAAAAGCTTGTACAAACTTCAGCAACATTCAGAACTCTCTGGAAGAGTTGTTTGTTAAGTTTAAGTTTTTTGGGATTTTTTTTCTGATCCGCCCCTTAATCTGATATTTTATAAAAAAAAATCAGAAATTGGACAAGGTTTCAAAACTTACTGAGCTAAAACTGATTTCAATTTCCTTTCAGATATTCTTGAAATTAAATTATGGGCAGTAAAAATTTGTTTGCACAAGAATATGGTCTCATATTTGCTGTGATCCACATCGTTACAATTGATTTTTCCACTGTGACGTAGCGTATACACGAGCTAATTTTACTTGTCTTCATTTGCATGTTAAAATTTGTATACAAACTTAAGTGTTACCGTGGGGTTTTCTTTTCAAAATCATAGCTTATGAACAATTTTTAATGAGATTTACAACAATAATACTGTTACAAATAGTAAGTAAACTATAGAATGCTTGGCTTTAAAGCCGATGGAAAATGTGTTAACATATTTTATTTAAACACAGCTTTAAATTTAAACATTCAATTGCAAAAAGTCCTTTCATGGTTTATTTTCTCCAAAAACAACCATTAATTTCACAATACATACAGTGTGCTGGTTTTTTTTAAACAAGCTTTTAAGTGATGAACTACCTTTTATATCATGTTCATTATACTGTGAATTCACTCACTTTCGTGGACATGAATTTTCATGGTTTTCTCACAAAAAACATTTTCATGAATACTAAAATTTATGAACAGTTAATTATTCCAAAAGGTAAAACAAGAGCCCGGTTTGAGCCGGGTGATGCTCCCCGAATAGGTTTTGGACACAGGAAAGTACACCTCTTGTAGTTTCAGAGTTATGTCCGTGGAAAAAGTTCAAAGTGCAATAATTCTAAAATTAGGCAAGGCAGAGTTACAGTTCTTTGCACTGCACTTTAATCAATGTGATCTATCAACCTACAAAGTTTCTTGATGATATCTCTTATGATTTCCGAGTTATGTCCTGGACAATTCAAAAAGTAAAAATAAACAAAGGGCAATAACTCCAGAATTAGGCAAGGTAGAGTTATGATTCTTGTGCACTGCACATCTACCCATTGAGATTATCTACCTACAAAGTTTCATGTTGATATCTCTTATAGTTTTACAACTATGTCCTGGATAAGATTTTTCTAAAAGGGGAGATTATTCAAAAATAAGGCTTAACAGAGTTATGGTTCTTTTGCACTGCACCTCTACTCAATGAGATCTATCTACCTACAATGTTTCATGTTGATATCTCTTATAGTTTTAGAGTTATGCCCCGGACAAGATTTTTCTATAAGGGGAGATAATTCAAAAACCAGGCAAAATAGAGTTATGGTTCTTTGACACTGCACTCCCCCTTGATGCCCTCTACCACTGTATGAAGTTTCAACAAATTTATCTCCAAGGGTTTTCAAGTTATGTTCCGGACAAAGTTCAAGTTCAAAGTATTAAAATAAACAAAGGGCAATAACTCCAAAATTAGGACAAAAAGAGTTATTGTTCTTATGCACTGCACATCTACGCATTGAGATCTATTCACCTACAAAGTTTCATGTTGATATCTCTAATAGTTTTAGAGTTATGCCCCGGACAAGATTTTTCTATAAGGGGAGATAATTCAAAAACCAGGCAAAATAGAGTTATGGTTCTTTGACACTGCACCCCCCCTCAATGCCCTCTACCACTGTATGAAGTTTCAACAAATTATCTCCAAGGGTTTTCAAGTTATGTTCCGGACAAAGTTCAAAGTATTAAAATTAACAAAGGGCAATAACTCCAAAATTAGGATGAAAAGAGTTATTGTTCTTATGCACTGCACATCTACCCATTGAGATCTATTCACCTACAAAGTTTCATGTTGATATCTCTTATAGTTTTAGAGTTATGCCCCGGACAAGTTTTTTCTATAAGGGGAGATAATTCAAAAACCGGGCAAAATAGAGTTATGGTTCTTTGACACTGCACTCCCCCTCGATGCCCTCTACCACTGTATGAAGTTTCTACAAATTATCTCCAAGGGTTTTCAAGTTATGCTCCGGACAAGACAACGGACGGACAGACGGACGGACGGACGGACAGACGGACAAGGCGCCGACTATATGCTCCCCCGAAATTTTTCGGGGAGCATAAAAATGTGATGGAAAAAAAAATATTACAGCAGACAAAATGAAATTTTATTAAATTCTAAATTTGTGGAATGACCTATCCATAAAAACCACGAAAATTAGTGCCCCATGAATAAAAATGATTTTACAGTATTATAAACTTTAAAAAATAACTTAAAAAATAAACAACATCTCGCAATTGCTCATCTCACATTCTACCCACCCAGGAGTTTTTGCTCCGTGAAAGGGACAGACTTTATCTGAGATGGGTAAATCACGACCTTGAACTTGACACAGGTCACATGGTGCATTTGGTTGACCTTGACTCTTGACCTTCAAGGCTGCACCTGTTTTTGACCTTTGGCATGACTTTTGACCTCCGCCTGGGTTGGGAGAATTGACTAGGTTGCTGTAAAAACAAAATGAATAAATGATAAGGGGAAAGTGCTAATCGTTATTATCTCCTAACCCCTTATCCTGCTGAATTAATGTGTATTTGCCCTTTTTTGAATTCTGAACAGTCCATATACTGTATCATTTTAGACGCGTCACGACAAAACCAAGGTAATGCGTTTGTGACCAGCATGGATCCAGACCAGCCTGTGCATCCGCTCTGTCTGATCAGGATCCATGCTGTTTGCTATCAGTTTCTCTACTTGTTTAGGGTTTGTAAGCAAACAGCATGGATCCTGATCAGACTGCGCAGATGCGCAGGCTGGTTTTGATCCATACTGGTCGCAAACCCATTATGTTGTATTTGTCGTCACGCGGCTCATTTACAGAGGGTATTGAATGAGCGTAGGTCCAATACTGAATTTATTGAACAAGTTGAATAGAATTATATTATGTGAGAAAAAATACAATATTATTGAATGAGTTCAATAAATACAGTAATGAACCTACACAAATATAATAATCTATTTATCACATACTAAAAGTAAAGACTGTTTAAAGTGTAATTATTTTTCATTGACATGTTTATAGTGCAGCATTTACATCTAGCGCTTCTTTACTCTTTATATTCATGTAAAGCAAATGACGTTGACACATCAAAATATATGCACAGCCGTGCAATACCCTTTTTACAGAGTCGAAAAAGCGGCACAGGTATGTGATAAAATGGATTTCTTGATAAATACGACAAAAATTGAGCTTCAAACAGTATAGAGACTGGCAGGTCAAGACTGCACTGGCTCTGTACTGTGGTGGTATGGCTTACAGGTGTCTGACATCTAACACACACCCCCCTACCCTACCCCCATATATATATATATAATAAACACATATTTATTACATAAACCATGACGCAGGAGTGTAATAAAGCCACTTAATAAAAACGATATAACACGAGTGTAATAACACTTTGATGTGGCGTCATGATTGTGTTAAATATAAACATAGCGTTAAAGCGAGCTAACATTACCGTTACATTGTAGGCGCATCAAAGAAAATAGCTCTTTTCAACTGTAAACTGTTGTTACATTATTTTGTATTTTGAATATGTGATAAATACAATATTATATTTGTGTACATTAAATACTTAATTTATTGAACTTTGTTTGCATAATATGATTTTATTCAACTTGTACAATAAATTAAGTATTACACCTACAGTCATCCAATATTCTCAATTTTATTACAGATATAAGAAGGTGTGATGGGGATATCAAATGGTATGGTTAATCATTTTCTCATTCCAGCAGGATAAGGGTTTTTACTTATATAGACTATATTTGTAAACGAAAACTGAAACGTGAGACATAATCAAGGTATACGTTCGTTATACAAATTGAAAGTATTCGAAATAAGACTGTCAATATTAAAATCGAGAAAAGTGACTGAACAGATTTGGCTGTTTTAAATCGATTGAATACATGTAAATCAATAAAATAAATTTCAAAAACAATTGAATAATCTAAATATTGAATATGCTTATAATAGATTGATGTGATTTGAAAGGCAAATTATAGTTTGTGATAATTAGTGTATATAAACTGCTTTCTTAATTATGTCTCAAATTTCTATTCAAAACCTACTTGTATGAATATGGAAAATCATTAACTAAGCATATTTTTTGTTTATTTTACTGCTCAAACTTCCAAAATACAAAATATGGTTGCTTTTTTTTTCTTCAATCCTTTCCAAATACATTCATTTTTATCCCAATCATTCCCAAGTATGTTTATTTTTCATCCAAATCCCTACCAAATATGTTTTCAATCCCAATCATTGCCAAATATGTTTATTTTTATCCAAATCATTACCAAATATGGTTATTTTTACAATCATTGACAAATAAGAAAACAAATCTGAACATGTTATCAAGTAAAAACATGCATTTGTGAAAAGTAAAAATAAAAAAAATAGTGATTTTATTACAGTAAACAAACCAATTAAATAGAGGATATTTGTTTGTTTGTGTGTAAGATGAAATTTTATTTCATCGAGTGGGCTTTAAAAACAGTATTCTCACGAGTGGCATAGCCACGAGTGAGAATACTGTTTTTAAAGTTCACGAGATGAAATAAAATTACATCTTACACAACAAACAGACAAATTTTCTTTTTATTTTATGCTTTAAAACAAGTTAAAACGAATTCCATAATTTTAACGTTGATATTAAAATCTGTTTCCCCCATTGAGAGCCCCATTTAGAGGGAATTTCTCATTAAAAACAAGAAGTCTTGAGCTGAAAAATAAGTCCGCCAATGGAGGTTAAATGAATGTGATATTTATTCATTTTATTAAAAAAAATGAATGATCACTTGTTTTAATAAAAACAAACAATTCTTGTAGGAGAAAAAGTCCAACCATCCATCCATATTTCTGTTACTTACTGCGAATTTATATTAGACCTGGCTTTGTAAAATGTAAACGGCAGCCATTTTTTTAAAGTCGTGTATTTCATGGGAGGAAAATAATTGTGTAAGATACAGAAGGATATAATTTGGATTTGTTAGTCATACACCTTTTTAAAAAGAAAGAAAACTTATTTGAGGATTGTAACAGACAAAAAATAAGTGTTGACAGAAGTGAAAACATTCAGAAAAGGAGCTAGGAAAATGGAAAAACTTGGAAGTTTGCTAAGGCATTGTAAGGAACGCTGGGTTGATTTACTTATTTTACGAGTGATAGCTGTCAATGCTTTTCAATTTTTCATAAAGCATACGGCAGTTATTGCTCGTAGGATACTTTAATATGCCCAAATGTCATCAAGAGCAGTTTTGCATGGGGTAGGAATGTATTTTTTCAGACTGTAAAAACGAAACAAAAAAAATTTAGAGACGAAATTTTGTGATTGGAATTTGAAGGAATAGAAGTAAGTTTTCTCTCTTTATTTTACTTTTGACATTTATGTTATTTATCTATTTCAGCTTTGCTATTTTTTTAACAGCCCGATATTGTCAGAATTGTCAGTAAAAATAGAATTGAGGTACGACATGGGGAAAATCTTAAAAAAGTAGTTTCGTCATTGAAAAAAGTGAAATTATATTTTGATAATTTTCACTGTGAAATTATCAAATATAATTTTCATGGATAAATCAATAATCCACTGAAAAGCATAAAATAAAATGATGTAATACTTCTTGAGAGAAGCTTTCATATAATTATATTTCCATATTTGTATACAAAAATATCGAATTTTTCCCTTCTTAAAAGTAAACCCTTTCCAAACAACTGATATCATCTGAGAAATTTGACCACTGTCTGTTGAAAGGTTGACAATATACTCTGTATATTAACTTAATTTCGTGGGCATGAATGTTCCTGCTTATATAATTAACTTTAAGGCTTGTGATAACAAGGTTCATGAAATTTCTTAAGGTTTAAAGCTACCTTAAACGAAATTTCTTCAGGTACATAGACCTTAATAAGAAATTTCTTAAGGTTTAAAGCAACCAACCTAGAATTTTTGCAAGGCTAATGTTTACCTAAATATGAAAATTTCCTTGTCATGCCTTGTCATAAAACTTTAAAAACAATTATTTTCAAGCTGACTAAAGGAGAAACAAAGCTCTGTTTAATAAAATCAAAATAACAATTTAAAGTTTAGAGTAACTATCCATTTCCATTTAAGACTTTGAATATTGATCATCATAATGATTAACTCATCAGTTAATGAATGATGAATATGGTTTTGGGTCACAAGGTCAAAGGTCAAACACTGTAAAGGTCACACAAATACTGGTTGAGGAGGACCACGGGTGCACATTTGTGCATTATTTATGGCAAGAGTAAGTCATGCCATCTGATCATGGTCTGCACTGTTCACTGTTCAGTCGGTAAATTTATTTTGAAGTTTTCCCATCAAAAAGGATTGAATGATTGAAAAGTGGACAAGTCTACTTAAGATATTTAGCATGGTAAAGGGTTTAGAATATATACTTGATGATGAATAATATAATAATAATTATAATCAAAACTATCTATGTAGATGAACAGGATGGTTAAGCAGACTAGCTGTTTTTTTCTTTTTCTAATACATAACGATTTACCCATACTTCCCCAGAATGCCTACCTTCTAGAGACATCAACTTGGATGGAGTGATCTATCACCAGATCTGCAGGACATACTGGATTTATTTTCTCCGGGTCGCCGCCCAATCTCTGCACCGCATCTCGCATGGCAGCAAAGTCTACCACGGCTGGTACTCCCCTGATGTTATATAGAAAGCACATGATGGAATATATAATTGTATCAAAGTTCGGAGACTTTACTATTGAAAAAGTGTCAGAGTCAAATCAAATACTAATACGGTGCATTAACCGGAGTGCATGTATTAATTACCCGCACTCACTATCTGTTTATAGCATGCTCGTTGATTGGCTCATTGTTTCTGGGATTTACTCATTTTGATGACAGGGATAGAAAAGATAGAAAAAATGATAGAAAAGTGTTTTTTTTTCTGGGGTTTAATATTCTGAGTCTATCCAAAAAATCCAAGTCGAATCCATAGAGCACTGCCATAGAGTAATCCACCTTGACCCATTTTTATTTTTTAGTCATCATTTAAGTATGTAACAAAGATCTTTAAAAATGTCATAAAATTGGTATAATAAGATCAACACTTTTTTTTCAATTGTCATAAAAATTGGTATAATAAGATTAACACTTCTGAGTACAATACTGAACTCTATTGGACTCTTACACAGCTGCAAAGCTAATATCACACACGGGCCGGCACCTCCTCCAATACAGCTTTCACATAATGTGTACTTATCAAACAGAATATTGAATTCAACAATACATTATAAACCCATAAAACACTGAACTGGGCTCTAGGAAAATGTAGATAGGCAAGAAATTCTAAGATAAAGTACTCTGGACAGAAAAATGTGATACGGTAAAAATGATATCATTATGACACCACATTTATATGCAATCATTTTGTGGACTCTTGAAAAGGTTTACATACGTGAAGTCTTGTAGGATAACACGTGATGGCTTAAACGGAATTTCAACACTTCTGGACTGGTTCACCTCCCAGTCTAATATTTTCTCAACATCAGACTGGTACACATAAAAATCATCGCAATTCCTCACTGCTGATTCTAATAACACTCGGATGGAATACGGCAGTTTACCTGTAAAATAAGTACATTCATCACGTAAACCGCGGCACAGGAGTGTATTAAAGCCATGTAATGAAAACGATATTACACTAGAGTAATAACACTTTGACGTGACATCATTTGCGCTATTTGTACACATAGCTTTAAAGCGCGCTTATGTTACTGTTAGCGTTGCACTATAGATGGCGTCTATGAAAAATGACTCTTTTTAACAGTTTACCGTTCTTATCATATATTATGTGATAAACAGAATATTATATATGTGTAGATTCAATTCTAACTTTATTGAACTTATTGAATAAAACAATATTATGCTCGCCAGAGGCTCCCATGATATGATTTTATTCAACTTGTTCAATAAATTTAGTATTAAACCTATACTCATTCAATATCCTTTATGTATATTTAAAACATGCATCTAATCATCTTTTTTTCACCATTTTTTTGCATGGAATTAAAATCCTTCCTATCTGAGATAAGTGGTTGGCTTTTCAGTGTTTTGATTATAGAAAAATTTGATTTTTTTTTAACAAAATATTTTGACCCAATAGGCATTTTTGCCATTAGTTTTTTTTTTTGTCTTTTTTGGTTGGGTTATATGCTGCACCAGCTTAGTATAGGTTGCATGGTAACTTTCCACCTTAGGTGGTCCTTTGTGATTTTTTTCGGGCACCAAAGGGCACCTGAGTAGAACCACAGACGTTTCGTAAGCAATTTTGCCATTAGGAACAGGTCTGTTTATCTGCCATTATTATGTTAAAATAGTAGGAAAAAAATCCACACACTCCTACTAAACCATACATTTTTTGTTTGTTTGATTGGGAATTACGTTACATCAACACAGTATAGGTCATATGGCGACGTTCCAACTTCACTGGTGGAGGAAGACCTCAGGTGCCCTACTGTGCATTATTTCACGCACTTAAGGGCACCTGATTTGAACCACTGATGTTCCATAAGATAGCTTTCTCACATGAATGAATCCAATGTCCCGGTCAGGATTTGCACCCTGACCCACAGCGGTGAGGGGCAAGTGGTTTGAAGTCACAACCATACATACCGTATCTTTTATCAGCAAGGGCTGGGAGACTGTAGTACTGCCATTCTTCCCCTCCCACTGACAGAGGCTTCTTTAGCTTGTCAAAGGCATTTGTACCTGTTAAGGAAAGAAATCAAAAACACTGTATCAATTGGTGATAACAAAAAATAACACTCAGTGTCTATTCTAGAAAGGGGGATGTGGGGATTCACTCATATTTTTGAGAATTTCCCCCTATTTTTTCAGAGGCAGGGGGAAATTTTTACATAGAGAAAGAAGGAAAATGATCAATAAATGTAATAAATTCTCCAATTTTTAGATAAAAATCCCCCAGTTTTACTTTTTTGTAAAAAATTTCAAAGAGTGTATTTAAAAAGAAAACTTAAAATAAGATACAACAGTACTATTAGTTTGTTTGTTTGTTTGATTGGGTTCTATGTCATACCGACACAGTATAGGTCATTTGGCGACATTCCAGCTTTACTGGTAGAGAAAGACCTTGGGTGCCCTTCCGTGCATTATTTCAGGAACGAGCGGGCACCCGCGTAGGACCACCAACGTTACGTAAGCTAGCTGGATAGCTTTCTCACACGAAAGAATTCAAAGTCCCTGTTGGGATTCGAACCCACAGCGGTGAGGGGCAAGTGGTTTGAAGTCAACGACCTTACCCACACTATTATTGTGTATTTATAATTTAAGTATTATTACAATGTATATATGTCTAATACATTATAAAGTGCAACTGTTAAGTCAAAAGTTAACTTTTTTCTAGTTTTTGTATCTTAGCTTTTTCTAAAAACAGATTCACATATAAATTCTTTATAAGTTATTATATAAAAATATCTAAGTGTACAAATACAAAAACATACTGTATGTATAATTATGTATATTATTATTTACGTATGTTATGTAAAACTATAAATTGCAAAATGTAAAATGAATGTATTATGTAAAGAAAGTATAAATGAATGGGTCTTAAAAAAAATCTTTTTTTTTTTGTTTCAATTTATACTACAATGTGTGTCCATAGGACACAGATGTGTCTCCACATTTCACTGTTAAATCAGTCTACAGATGGCCCGTCAGTGACAGACTTGTTGCTATAGTTATTCAAGGGACTTAACTCTTTTTTTATATATTATATATTGGTCTTAGAGCAAAGTTGGAGAAAAAATAGCCACATAAGAGCAGAGCTTATAGAATAAATTAAATAGCATCAAAGGAAGTTTACTGACTAGTTTAACATATTATATCTATAATTATGTTTATTAAGCTAGACAGACGGACATAGTCAAATCTATATATCTATATTCACCTGGTCACCCTTTTTAAACTTGAGAACTTTTTTTTTCACATTTACTTGTAGAATGGACAATAGGGCGGAAAAAAATAAAAAAGGAACTCATACAAAACATAACTATCTATCAGATAACTATGGTTTTTTTCCAAATCATAAAAAAATAAAGAAATTTTAACAAAACTTAAAAAGATTAAAACTTTAAAAGATTTCCAAATGAGATAAAATGAAGTACTGATAATGAATGACATGGATTTTTCATATTTTTTTACTTTTTACTATGACTGTCCAAACCAATGCATAACACTTAAGGACTTTTATCTTTGCTTTAAAGACCTACCTAAACAATCACAGATCACTTAATTGTTTTGTGTTGTCTTCACATTAGTGTTGAAATATATGACTTGTGGAAGAAAAAAAAGAAGCACATTAATTGCTTTTCAATTTAACACCATTTACAAATTAATCTTGTGTTGATATATCAATTCTATTTATTATAGGTATAAATTCAAATAATTATATAAAATTATAATTGTATATTGTAATTGTTGAACATTTTACACTTTACAGTGTACACTGAGGTAAAGATAAAATATTATCTTATACTTTCAAAACTTTTATCTTTCATGATGTGTCTTTATGAAGTTATTTTGTTATCTTTCATGATGCGTCTTTAAGATTTTACTTTGTTATCTTTCATGATGCATCTTTAAGATAATTTACTTTATTATCTTTTGTGTCAGGACATGATATCTTCTTAACCCTGTTGTAAACTTCTGGATACAACTTTATCTTGATGTAGGCTACATTGTAAATTATACATTTTATAAATGTATTTCAGGACAAACTGATGTGACACGAAAAGAGATGTTCAGTTTTGTTAAAATGCTGAACAAGCATATTTGCCTATAGTAATAAAAACTTCAAAAAGAACAAAGATCAAAGAGGTAATTAAACTTCTACACAGAAGGACACAAATAAAAGTGCCTAACTTACTGAATGTCAAAGAAAAGAGATGATGAAATAGGAATCCTTTTTATAATTGTGTCTAAAGCAAAATGTCCACCTATACAAATGTATGTACAGTAAAATGCCACCTAACGACCACGCCACAAATAGGACCACGCCGCTATTACGGGCACTTTTTAAAAGTACAAAATATTTGCCTTCTTTATTCATTGAGAAAATTGACCAGAATACCGACCACGTCTCTAATCCGGCATAACGACCACTTCTGTCAGACATTTGTGTGTATTTCTTATCAAAACATTAACCTGTACTACGACCATGCAACACAATGACCAGACATCACTTGGTGTTAATTGCCCCCCAATTAATTGTCGTAATCTTCCCTCTGGCGTAAACAAATACACCGGGTCAAATGAGGTCATTAATATACATCAATTGATTAGACGCTTGCTTTACGATGTATCTGTAGCATTCAAGCGTCAACATGATCAGTTTAAACCACTTCTGGCTAATTAATCTAAGCAGCTATGGTGCGAGAAACGATTAATTTGTAAGCGTAATTATGATGTGATAAACAAGTATATAGCATGTAAAATTGTTTGTTGTGCATCACAATTTATAGCAAGTATGGTAAAAATTGCTAATTTCACCAAATTATCAGTTCATGTGTGCTTTATTTCGATATGTAATTAATGTATAAATCATAATGAGAGTCATACTATATAAATACCTCATATTTTTCTTTTAAAGTGAAAGTCGTAAATTAATGTTTTCATCATATTAATGATGTACAGTATAATAATTATTATCATGCATTAAAAATGTTTTTTGTTTAAAAAAATGTGTTTCTTTTTACTCATTTAATTAAGTACATTTACCATGTGCATTAAACTATACAAGGTATACATTAAGTTAAGTTGGACTTTGTCGGCTGTTAAAGTGACTTATTCACTATTAAGACCAGTTCACTATTAAGACCACTTTGAGTCAGACCCGTTAGTGGTCTTAATAGAGAGAATTTACTGTATTCAGCAAGAAGAGCTGTCATTGATTCAGTGTAAAGCATATTGATGATACACAGTTATCGGATTTCAAATATTGGCAATAAATTGATAATTACTCCTTATTCCTTGTATATACATTTAATTCACTTTCATATTTGTTTAAATGATTTTAGTAAAATATATGTTCTCTTAAAACAAATATATTGTGTCCTGTTTATAAATGTCCTTTGCATGATTTTTTTTCTGACTATGTATGAATAATTTGGAATACTTGAATATTATAATTTTAGGGAATTAAATGGTGACACTGCTAAAAATACATAAAGAAATTTTGTTGCAATTAATACTGTTTTTTATCAGCAATCAAATTAATGCTTGGTATAGTGAAAGTGGGATTTCTTTCAGTTGTGAAGCTGGTATTCTGGAATTGTGAAGGGACCTTATTCAAATTGTAAAAGTAAAAGGGACATTTATAATAAGGCCCCTATAAGAGTGAAAAAATACCTTAAGTGACTTTTTCACCTTATATGACAGAGGCCTATAAAAGGCTTCTTCCAAATGGAAATTATCTTTAAAATCAGGCAGTTTCCAAAAAATCTGAACTAACACATGTCAGCTTTTTTTTACTTCCAAAATTAGCAATTTTAGCAACAATTGTGACAACGATTGTGAATGGGGCTCTATTAAGGCACCAAAACTGCATGAAAATAAAACCCACAAAATAAAGTTGTTGTTAATGCTCATAACTCAAAATTATATCTCTAATTTATTTTCTAGTTAATTTATACAGAACAATAGAACAAAATATAAAAGATACCAAATCACCTTTTTTAATTTTTGAAATAATGTTTAAAAGAGCATGGTATTGTGGCATTGTTTTATTCACTATAATCACAGATTAACCTGTAAAGGTATATCTTGAAATCACAAGGTCAAACATACTGGCAAGATGGCAATGGAGTGCCAAATTAAAAAAAACGTATCTGAAATTTTACGGTATATACCGTATTGTATGTTCAAAATCAGTTTGTGCTATTGTCTTAATAAGACAATCATTTGTTACCTAAGTGCAGTAAAGGGATAACTCTATATATAATGTATTTAATTTAATAGGAGTTAACCCGTCACTGCACAAAGGTGATAATATATAATATAGTTCTTTCAGTCTATGCACCATGATATGCTTGATGTGTCACAGTATAACAGGTATGCTTGAGATTGAATTACCAACTCTCTCACCCATGGGTATGTGCATGTCATGTAAGGCCCCCACGATTACACGTTTAAACGGATTCGTTTCGATTTTCATTCATAAACGTTTACGATATTGTTTACCGTTTAATCGAAATGACTATATTGTCTTACAAAATTTCTTAATCATTGCCTGTAATCATGGATTTTATCAATTCTAGTGGTTTATTCCAAAGTAAACAAACGGAAAATGGGTGTTTACACCCCTCCACACAGCATTATGGGGTTACAATGCAAAAAATGTGTGCTGACTCAATCGTGATGAGCCCTGCACATTCTTTATTTGTGCATGTATTAAAAATAGAAAGAAAGACATCATTTGGCGACTCAAATACATGTATGGTGTGTATAGTACATTGAGGTACCACCGTTTAAACGGTATCGTTTCGGTTCTTAGCAATCGTGTAAACGTTTACAAAACATTGTAAACGTGGGAGCCTTAATGTCATGGAGAGGCACCTGTTTGCAATCTGAAGATGATTAAAGATCCTCTGCATGTTTTAAGACGACAAATTTGCATGTGTTCTACAGCTCTCAATAACATTTAAGGCGGAACGACTTATTTAACTCTTATAAAGTTAGCTGCCACTGACATGAGTGAATCCAAGAGGAGTGACCCTACAAAGTAAGCAGGGACGATGAGGAACTCAGGAAGGGTTCTAAGGTGCATGAGCCCCTAGTTTATAGTGACAGCTTGGCACCAGCAGTCCTTATCAAAGCTATCCCCCCTTATATAGGTGGCACAATAGCTCAGTTGGTTAGACCACTGACTGTCACTCCTGAGGTCCAAGGTTCGTTCCTGGGTAACATCCTTTGGATTTTTCAGAGACACTTTCAGTGTTTCCCAAATACCTAGAGGTGTACTGGTAAGAAATCCAGGTAATCCTCGAATGTATTAGTGCTATACACTGGGTATGTAAAAGAACCTAGGGATCTGTTCAATAAGAGCTAGGGACTGTTTCCCAGATTCACTTGTATCTCACAGCTTTCTCTCACTGCTAAGTGTAATCATAAACCATTTTGAAGCAGTATTATGTACTGGTTGGAGACCACCAAAACCGGACAACCACCAAACCCGGACGGCCCCAAAAATGCTTAATTTAGTATTTTCTTTGTTCAGTCATCAGTGGTTGTCAGTCACTTTTTTTATCAACAATAAATGCAAGTTTCCTATATAATTTAGTAAATAAATTTATTTCAACCTCCTTAAATGGTAATATTTTAATTGTCTATTTCAAAAATGTTGATGTTGAAATTTGGGCGTCAAGAATAGATATGTCCTAAAAACACAATTCTTTTTCACCCCTGTTAAGAATGGGATAAAAATATCTGTAACATGATGAAAATTCACTGTCTCCCACTGTAACCTTATGTAACCCTTGTATCCCTTGTCATGTGGGGGTGAAAAATAATTGTGTTTTTGTGCCATATATGGTCAAGAAAGCAATGCCTGATCTCATATACCAGCTATAATCATTTGCAGAGTAAACAATAGAATATCCAACACTTCACTGTGACTTCAGCATTTGTTGCTGAAATATTGTATATCATGTTAAAAATTAAAAACACCCAAGCTTTTATCTGAATGGAATCATGTACTGTACATATCTGGCCGGACACATGGTACTGTAGTCCAACTAATTAGACTTGTCAAAGAGACACCGAGATAATTTTGGACGGGCGCTGTCTTTTTCCAAGTCCAACCACGAACTGCATTTTTATGCACGGACGCTTCCCAATTAGAAGTTGTTGGGAGCGAAAACTTTAGAAAAGTTTTCAAAGAAACGGTCTACATTACCTGAAAGAGAATCGTTTTTTATGCAAGGTTCCAAATTATTCATACTTCAAAGTCGAACAGAAGTCTTAAATATTCCACTTTAATTTTTTTTAATCGTTGAAAATTATTGAAAGCGGCCATATTGGAAAACGTGTCATGGTTGTTAAAATTGTAAAACACTGGTAAATCCATGGTGTAACACAAGGTATCGGCGGCAATCGATTGTATTTGCCAAGCTTTATTATACAATTTGTTTATGTTATTTATATGAATTATTGCAGGAATAACTCTTTTATTCACACACAAATATTTCAAGCATTAAAAAAGAGAATGTGTAAAGGAAATTATGATTAACCTTACTTAGAAATTAAATAGTTTTAAGTGATGTCCGATGTGCAGATCATACTGCATTTAAGTCCGTTTAAATTGTCCAAATTAGATATTATTAAGTTGGAATTTTTAACATCTGTGGATCATTTAGGTATATATATTAAAATTTGAAAATTCTGAACTACCTTTTTATTTTAAATAACCCTCCATGATTTCCCCCACATCGAAAATATCAATGTATATTGTAGGTACATGCTTAATTAGTGAATTATAATTATACTATACATGATGAAGCAAAAAGAAAGAATTTCAATTTATATATTACCAACTCCATATCATTTTTCTAGTTTATTTTTTCCATTTAAAAGAAATTGAGGAGCGGTTGTGTATGGGGAAGAAGTTACAAAACAACCCAAAATAACTTTAAAACTCTGAAAAAAAAAAAATCTTAAAATTTCAAAAACTATAAAATGGAATTTCAGACAGTCCTCAGTAAATATATAATTGTCGCCACAGATTTTGACGGGGTTTTATGATAAAAACACAGCAAGCGGAAATTTAGTGACCGTTATTTTAAGATGTTGAAATAGCATAAACAATGTAAGACAGATGGGAGAAATGTTGGAACGACTGTCCGCAAAAGGCACGCAAAACCTCTGATACCCCATTTTAAAAATTCCATGTTATTCTAGTTCCCGGCGTTGAACGCACCTCGAATGTTGCTCACATTGAAAGTTTCCATGATTACCGCCGTATTATGTTAACACATCTGTGCATGGATGTTGATTAAAAATTCAAAACATTATTATGTTTAAGTGATAAATTCGGTTTAAAACCCGGCGAAAGGGAGCACTTGAACACCAGAGCCGTTTTGGACCCCTGTTATTTTGTTTCGATTTTGAGTTTCAGGCTTTTTTGGTTTGGGTTTTTTTTTTGGAGGGTGGATAATGAATTGGGGAAAAGTTTTTTTCTGTTTCTTTAATTTTTTTTTGTTTTCCCGAATTGTATTGATAATCTTATCGTTTGTTGGTTCGGTATACATGAAATACAAATGAAAAAAATGAAAAAGGGAAAAGGGGCTTTCAATGAACGAACCCCAATGCCCCAAAAAAACCTTTGGCAAGGAGCCCAGGGGGATCCTAAAAAAAAAGGGAAAGGGGAAGGGGAGCAGGTCAGGTTTATCATAAAATGTAACTGAAAAGGGAAAATAAAGAAAATAAAAAAATAAATGTTAATAGGACAAAAAGTTAACGCAGCACAGGGGAAGGGGATAGGAAATTCGGGGAGGGGGCGAAATAAAAGAAAAAACTAGGGGAAAAAGGGTAGATACTTACCCAAAGACGAAAAAAAAACAAGGGACACAAACAAAGTGTCACCAAAACAGTATGAAACAGGACCACTTTAAGTTTAACCGGGCACAGGAGAAGGGGATAGGAAATTTGGGGGGAGGGGGCGAAATTAAAGAAATAAAACTAGGGGCAAGGGAAGAAACTTACCATAGAACGAGAAAACAACAACAGGGACACAAAAAAAAAGTGTACCCAAACAGTTGAAACAACAAGACATACACCTTATACATTTATAAGTCTCTTAATTTGTTCATTTGAAAAATTCTGATCTTCTCAAATGACTTTTTTTTAATATTCTACTTTTAAATTTGTATTTCAATTAAAATATGTGACCCGTTCCTTTATAGTTACACAGCATATGGCTGGATCACAATAAAGTTCCTTTTTAGTAAATTAATAAAGTATGTCAAAAAGACATTAACTTTATCATAGGTTTAATATGGTATTATATATCGGGCAATCGGTGTGAAAAAGAGCTTCTTGAAATATTATTTGTACAAATACTGAATAATTTGAAGTGTTTTCAAATAGTTTCCTTCAATATTTCTTTTTACGTTCCTAATTGTCATATAAATATGCCATGTATAAATGAAGTCCAGTATTTTATCCGAGAGTGACATTTGGCAGTCATTAGCAGTAACAAGAAGGCAAACCACCAATTGCATAAATGTTGAGTATATGTATTAAAATATTTAAAAAATATTAAACAACAGTACTTGTACGGAGCCTATTTGCGACCATTGCATTTTAGGTTAAATACCAATGAATACTTTTAATAGTATTTAATAATGCAACACATTTTATTAAAAAATAATGAATAGATTTATTTCCCCCGATATTTTCGTTTAAGTTTAATCTTCATGCGTAACCCACACACTTACCTTGGCTTGACACACTTGGGGTAGCTACTACCAGCTTTTTCACGGAATCGATTTTTTACGATGACGTCATAACATGTCCGCCGAAGATAGAGTAGACCAGTACACATTTTTGAAATAAATCGCATGTAATGCGGTTTAAGACAGGTACAAATCTAATATTTTTTCTTAGGAGAAGTTAGTACTAAATTTATAATTCTATTGATCTTTAGAGGGTTTGATTGAAGTTAACTTTCAGGTTTAAGCAGTAAAAATCAGTCAAACTATCGATAGTGTTTGCCGGTAGATTTTCCGTGCGTAAAATGAACAGTTAAAATTAGGCGTAACGTTTTGACAGTAAGAAAAAAAGCTGTAAAATGGGTCAAACCGTTCACGCCAAATTAATTTTAGGTAATGGTACTGTTAAAGTGTAGACAATTTAGGTAATTTTTGATACCCTCCTTGATGAGGGCCTCGGATATAAGTGTCAATATAAAATCAGAAATAAAACAAACTAGTTTGTTAGTTAGGATAAGAACTAGCTGAACTGGGTGTTATTTTTTTAGGCCTCTGGTTGGAAATTATTAAATCTATATGGAAAAAGTGTTCTAAAAGTGTTCCATCCCCGACCAGTAGATATATATTTATTTATCAAAGTTACTGGTAACATTTAAGTTGTTACTAAATTGTATGTATTCACTAACCCCCTACTTTTGGCTTAAAATCCCATAATATTCAATACTCTCTGGAAATTTGCACGGACATAATTATTTCCATTTTGAATTCAAAAATAAACCCTTTAAAGTTTAAATGCACATGACATGTCCAGGATCCATGACCAGCACAAGCTTCTTTTAATGGCCGGAATGATCAGCATATATATCGAAATTAAGCTAGAAATAGTTCAGGGTAAATAAGTTCTTTTATATCTAATACTTCTATTCAACCTAATTTAATTTCTTAACTAGCTTAAGTTTATCCAATAATAAGGTCAAATTATGGGATCCAATATTTCGAATAAGAAAAGTAGTTTAAAGGCTGATTATAATGGATTGTGTTATAATAAAATGTACAGACTATTAATAAATGTTCACATTTGTTTTTTCTACTTATCTTTCTTAAAATTACTAAATGTCTTGAGAATTAAATTGACAAAAACTCAATATTAAAACTAATGATTACAAACCAGTTGTGCTGTCCGCCATTTTGAACTTTCGACAAATCACGTCACGTGCAAAAATAGAAGTATTCACCACAATGCACCTTAACTACAATACCGCAAATACTTGATAAACACCGACAATCACTAGTATCGGAAAGAAAAGTAAAGGGAGCACTTGATGTGCGAGTAACACGGATTCGATTTTAGAAAACCCGGATTATTCCTAACTAAAAAGTTTGATGCAATAGTATGGTTAAGGTAGGGACGCTGTCCCTAATCTTTTACACGGGATTTTAACAAAATGTTACTGTTAACTTTTGCATTACAGTAGATTACGTTAAGAAACCCCTAATGGGCACTATCAGGAACTGTAAAATGGACAAGATAGGACATTTATTATGCATTAAAGGACCCACGTATGCAAAATTGAAACAAAGTGTACAGTACGGCTTAGTTATTTCCAAACTAAACCTTTACTGTTGAAAGTGCGTTTTTTTAAGGAATGCAGGAAAATCTAAATAATCTATATAGTACTATCATAAAAGGAACTTTGAGAGTAAAATATTAGCAAAAACTGGCTTAAGAATCCTTGTTCATTATGAAAAATGTTTTCCTATTCAAAAATGATAAGAAACAAATAACAAATCACAGAAGCAAAATGATTGTTTCTACACAAAATGTTTGAAATATGTATAAAAATATTACCCTACCCCACCCTTTTCAAACACTTACTTGACCATTTCTCTGTTCAAAATATGCCTAAAATTTACCACAATGAAGGGCTTTTTCAAAGTTTGCCTGAATTTTCTTAGAAGTACACTTTTGCCAGGGTGTTGGGGGGGGGGGCTTCAGCCCCCGAAGCCCACATCTCCCCGGTGTAAACGGATCTGCATAAGTAGGTCTAATTGTTTATTTTGTCCAAGGTTGGGAATAATTATTAGCTTATATGAAATAAGAATTTGTATACGGTGCAAGTGTATCAGTAATTAATACATTCATTTTTGTGAACTGCATGAAGACTGTTTGTTTAATGGCTTTAATTGATTTTCTTTTTGGAAGAATTCTTGGGTCAAATTTTGCCAACCCCAGATGTCTGCTGTTTTCTTATTTGAATATTGTAAAAACTTAATAATAGCCCTTTTGTCTGAAACCCCATTGGCTATAATTATATTATAACAGGGCACTTTTGTCCCCTCCTAATTTTTTTTTCACACTTCACATATTTCGGTCATTTGTTATCTTAATATATATACAATCGTCATGTAATTATAAACATGTAATAAAACCCTCTGATAATCAAAACAAATTGTTCTATCTTCTATTCTAGGGTTTTAAATGCAAACCAGTTCGTTTGTACTTTGAAATTTTGAGCTGTTAGATTTTTATATATGGTTCCAACATACTGTTGAGTCATATAACCTGTTAGTCCACTTAATTATTGATAATATTTTACTGAATAATATATAAGGGGAATAACTGTTTCTAATTTTATGTCATGATTGGCTTACTGTTAGTTTAAACATGGTTTTAAAGCTAACATATTTCGGAAGACGATTGTAGCGTAATAATTACTTCAAGGAGTTGATAATATAAAGCTAAATATATTTCTAAACTTAATTTAAAAAGAAATGAGCATACTATACTTCAAACAGAGCCCTAAAGGCAAAATTGGAAATGTTGAAGGCTCGGTTTGATTGAAAAAATTATAGACGGTACTGGAAGTGCAAGCTACCTTCTTCGCCCCATAGCACCGGCTTAAATAGAGTATGAATATAATAGAACATTTTAAATTGAGAAACAACCGCAGAAGTGTTGATATGGCGGTCATCAAAGATTCTTCAATGTGTCAGGTTTGCACCATTCCACGAAAAGCAGCGGTTGGTCAAAAAGTAGCTTAAATTCTCACAAAACTATGGAAAAATGCATATGATGCATATTATCTAAATGTGATTAAACAATGCTTGATGAATAAAACATACATTTTTAGTGAAGAACCAATTTGAAAAAACAACAACTTTAAAGGCTTAATTGATTAATAAATTGACTATTTATAGCATTATTACATTTTCTGAGTTTGTTTTGTCAGCTGTCTTCTAATTTGAAAAGATGAACATTGCCAGATTTAAAACAAAAAAGTATGTAATAAGAGTATTTATTAAATTTATATTAAAATATTGTTTCCTAATAGAAGAATGTTAATTGTATTTCTATGGTGAAAACCATCTTCTAGTTTTTGTCAGGATGGATACGATCTAGTTGCTTGTTTCTTGTTTTTGTTTGGTTGAGTTTAATAAAGGTCACACGGCGATGTTCCATCTTTACTGGTGGTGTGCAGACCTCACGCGTCCATGTGTGCATTAATGCAGGCATGAACGGGGCACAATAGAAGAACCACTGACCTTCCGTAAGCTAGCTAAATAGCCCAGTCAGCAGGCTGGATAGCTGGATAGCTCTGTCAGCTAGCTGGATAGTTCCGTAAGCTAAGTGGATACTAGTAGTTCAGCTAATTAAAGAAAGAAAAGGAGGAATGTTAGGGGGCAGGGGACCTAAAAATGAAAAATTTTGTATTTCAGTGTGACCAGAAACACAATTCCAAATATTTCAAAATCTGTTTCTTCAGGTCAGATAACCCATTGCATTGCATTATCTTCATACTGGATACTATTGGATATACAATTGGAAGGGAATACTATAGTTGCATGCATTGTCTGTAGCAAATAAAGAAAGACAAGCAAGTTACGTTTCCCCATAAAGAAAATAAAGAACATAGCCATATGGCAATCTTCATGAAAGTGGCTACATATACCAGATATTGCGTTTGCACGATTCCTTTGAGATAATATAGTAAACGCAGTGCAAGCTATAGCATTTAGAAAATGACAATAAATGTCTGTCATACTCTAGAATTTCACAAAATATTGAAATTTCTATTCGTTTGCCCCAATGAGAAAGTTTAAAAATTTTAAATTAAACTTTTTCACCTCCATTCGAGAGTCAGAAATACATAAAGTATCAAATGCTAGTTTCGTAAAACCAGCAAAATAATGCTCATTAATGCATGCTACTCTCGAAACAATGAAAAATTCAAATGAACAGAGAAATATAGAAGTTATCAGTACCTTCAAAACACCATGTCTGAGTTATTAAAAAATTTGACCGGGGCCATCATACGAATATGTCCCCTGCCCCCTTACGGTTCCCATTATTTGAGGAAATATAGAGACAGCCGATATCGCAACATCTTACTAAAGGTAGGTTACATATAACATATATTGACTGCTAATAGCTAGATCACTGTTTTCCTATTGGATAGTATAAATAAACAAGATGTAACCTATAAAGGCACATTATGCATCAAAAACGAATAAATATTTCCTTCACTAGAATAGGCAACTATGAGTTTTTTATGTTTAAATAACACTTTAGAGCATATCAGATGCTCAATGAGAAATGTTTAGCAAAAAGTAAATAAAGTTACTAAAGTATATTCTCTTTTTAATTGACATCCATACAAAATAGTGAAATACTAAATCATCGTAACAGTTCCTATTTCAGGCAAAATATGGTTCATGTAATTGAACAAAGTGTATCTTTTCGGAAATTTTTACAGGACACAAAATTTAAATAGCCTTTGAAAAATAAAAAGAAAATAAAGAAAAGATAAAAATTAAAAGCCTTGTTCTGGGGTCATAATGGGCCTTTAATCATATCTTTGCAGATTTAAAGATAAGGTATCATATACATTTACACTATTTCAGTTGACATATATCAAAATTGGAACAAATTTATGAATTCACCACTGTTACAAATTTGCTTTAGAAAGATAAAAATAATTAAGGTATACATTTGTAAAAATTGAGGACATTTCAAATCACATAAGAAGGGCTTTAAACCGGAAAATACATATATATTGGTATCATGCGGTGATATCACAATGCTGCCAATACAAGGTAAATTCATGATCAAATTTCTGAGAAAATATTTAAGTCTCAAAAAAGCACCCAATACATGTGATGTGTCTATACTTTGACCAAAGAATTGAAGTTTTAGTTTACTTCCCTCTGTGAACATACATTATAAGAGTTGAAATTTTAAAGGTCAATTTATTTACGTCATCTATATTGTAATGGGCAATACGTATCAATCATGCAGTTATCGTTATTTTCATTCTTATTATTGATTGGTTAAATAAATGTTTGTTTATCTTTTATAGCCTTTGTTGATTTAATCTGTCAGCCATTACTCGCTATGAATTATGGGAGATAACTTCACAAGGCCAACTTCACTTTTTTTTAAGTAAAGTTTGTTGGTTTTCGACTATTTATCAAATTTAACGAGACTTGAGTGCAAAATTAATTGAAGTAAATGTATATATAATAAGTTTCATCTTTCTTGTATTTGATTAAAAATTGTATTGAATTTTGTAATGGAATCATTGTTTTTATAGATAGTCATTTAATATTTTAACTTTTATCATAGTTTTCTTTTTAAGTTTTAATTAATGATGCCATTTCCTCAGTTGGAAATCTGTAACATATTTGGTGATTTAATGACACCCTGTGGTGCTGGATTGCCAAACATTTGGCGAGTATATAAGGTCTTCGCCTCAGATTTCTTTGTTGGTTTCCATAGATTTATTATTTTATTTATTGATTCATATTTTTTTTGTATTTTGATATTTCTTGTCCAGATTTACTTTTCAGTTGTTAAATTATGATTACTTATAATTATTTATTCGAGATTTTATGAGAATAAACTTTGCTGTTGATCAGAAGTTACATTTTTATTGGGAGGCCTTGAAAAGTCATATATTTGTGTTGAATATTTAAACACTTTCAGAGACTAAATTCCTATAACAAGTCTTTATGCAGTTGCTTATTTATTTATTCTTTATTTATTTATATTTTTTTTTGATATTTTAAATAATGCAAGTTTGAAATTATTTTTGACAAGGAGATAGATTTAAATAAATTCATGTTTTAAACTTGATTTTAAGTCTTCATTTCACACCTTTTTTTTAATGAAAGGTGGTGTGTTTTTGCCGTCATTAGTTATTTTGTGGTCAAGCCTTTGTTTAGAACAATCAAGATGATCATTCATTTGTCCGTCTGTACATAAGCTTGTCTTGCTATTTTGTAATGTGATATTTCAAGGGGCTTACTGAAACACTAATTTTTATTTTGCGTGGAGTGCTAAGAATCCACCTTTTCGAGCCAACCTCAAATGTATTGCTCCGACGAGTCCAAAGAATTATTTCGTAAACGGTTGAAGTAAGGATGGACGAATGGATGATTACAAACTTTCAGTTTATACACGCGCAGTTTGATAAAAGTTATGTATTATTTATTTATGCATTTATTTTATGAACAAAGTTTCCAAATGGTAATGTATTTTTTCAGTGTACTAGAGTTATCAGTGTGTGCATTAATATTTTCACGGAAAAGTTAATGTTCTCTAAGATATTTATTTTAATAATGTAAAACATTCAACAGATGCATATACATCAATTATCGCTTATTTTCAGTCCGCCTTTTTGTTATAGTTGCAGCCATAGTGTTAACCAATGGTAAAGTTTTGCACAAAGTAGAAAACAAAGGTATCTAATTTAAACTTGTTTTAACGACAGTTATAGCAAAAGGATAAACAATATTTCAATGGTGATACTATATTATAAAAAATAAAATAATGAAGTAACAATGAAACAATACTGTCAAAGAGAAAATCTCTCTCTTTAAAATTTTCATTGATTCACAAATTACTCGACATACGAGAAAAACACAAGTGATTCAGTAATTTTACCAACTTAAATTTACCAAAGTATAAAACTTTAAAATCTCTTATTTGTTCGACAGACTAGCAGAAACAAATTTCAAACAAACATTCACTTGGGTTTCATAAATTTCCACAATTTTCAGTACCAAAATAAAACATTTACAGCATTTATCGTTTGTTTCCAGGGCATCAGTTGGAAGCAAATATTGTTAAACGTTTTATTCTGATGGACAAGTTTCCGGATGGTAAGCGAATACTTATACATCTTGTGTAATATGTCTCAGAATATGCAGTGAAAAAAACGAAACGGACCGCAACACTGAACAGCAACATTTAGACACACAGGATAACAGTTATACCCACCATAAGAAAACGGGGCGAATGTCGGGGAGGGGACATAGGGTGGGGCGGGGGGAGACTGAGCGAATTTATCAATAATTGCAATTAACAAACTTATGAGCCTTGAAATGCGCCGTTAAAATGAGACGTTAATAATATTAGCAAAGAGAAGAAAAATAAATATCATTTATGTGTCCTAAACTGATGGAATACTTACCGATACACATGACAGGATGTATTAGCAAAACTTTTAATTCAAGCAAATTAGAAATAAAAGTTATCGCATATAACTCTTGTATATATAGAATATATCATATGAATTGGTATGTTTCTCAGACTGATTGTGTGAAATTGTATTCCTCATGAGCCCATACTTTTGCAAAATCCCTTTCTATTACAATTTATTACTTTAAGTACATAAAGTACTTTGATTATATAATTGTTGTATCTGGTTTAATTAGAATGGACATCGTGGCGGCAGCAGGTGGCATGTCTAACAACATGTGTGCAAGGTTTCGAGAGACAGACCATAGACTGCTGTACAACTGGTGACAACAAGATTTGCTTTGATCTTCCATGGAATTCTCTCAACGAATCTGTTGGAAAATGTGCTGGTATGTAAAACAAGTAATCAGGCTTTTTCTTATGGCGTTATGTATACATTGTACATGTGTATGCTGCTCAGCTTACAACCATAAGCTACGGTGACCAAAAGTCTTAGTGAAAGGGAAACAATAATACTTTTACATGCGTTTTTACATAGCTAGCTAGGAAAAATAAATAAAGTGAATACATGTACTTCATTAAGCTTAAAGGAGTTTTTTTAAAGTTATGCTGAAAAATAATCTTCGGAATATTGTTTTTGATATCATTTCATGTTAAAAAATAGAATTGTACTGTTGACCGTGATAAATCGGCGTCATTTCTTATGATCGGAATCTGTTGATAATTCTTTTTCAAAACTATCAGTAAAATAAAGAAAATACCATTTTCATAAGTATGAGTGTAGATTTTCAAGGAGCTCCACTAAGGTCAAAACGCCTTAAATAATACTATTGAAATCTTTATATAGATCAAGCGAAGTACTTAAAATGGATAAGTCTACAGAAGACTAATAAAAAAGAGAGAAATATTCCAAAACTAAATTGAAAATCGTTTTTTTGTGCAATAATTAGCCCAATTTTAGCAAAATGCGTTGCAAAGCTTTTTAATTTGGGTGAAATTTTGCACAATAATAGTGAGACAAAAATGAAAAAAAAAGATGAGAGAATGATCTGAAATCGAGCTCGTTCAGACCAATATCAGATGGTTCACAAATCTCTGTAGAAATATTTCCAGTCCGGTCGTGTCAAGAAGTCTAAGTGTCCTCAATACCTATAACAAGTAAAATGGTTTCCTGCGGGGGAACATTTTTAATGATATAAAGATAGTTCCTTCAACTATTTTCAACATTGTTTGGGGGATAAATAAACGTTTGTATCAGGAATATAGTTGACAATAATCGATCAATATAGAAGAAGGTCTTTAGAAACTGGTGACCGTTGAAGACCGGAGAAGGTCGTACATAAAACAATTATTTCTTTTTAAGAAAATTATTAAATAGGCCTACCATTTTATGAATAATTCCGAGCAAAAAAAGTAAACACACAAGTTTACGCAGAAAATATCTCTATTTATTATGGCAGATGTCACTATACGTAAATTAATCTTGTAGATTTTCAGTATAAACAATTTATTGTTTGTAAAATGTGAGATAGATATTAAAGAATCATTGATAATTTTCAAACACATCATTCAAGTTTTTCCACCTTAAACGGTAAAATAATTATAGAAAATTAGAAATATCACGTAATAGTTTTTTGTTCTTAATTAGGTGTAATTCGGACTACATTCCCTAGAGGTAAATCCGTAACGTACCGGCAAACGGTATTTAGCTGGGTTTTAGAAAAGGTCAATTAACCAATCATATACGGTTTACAGATCACGTGCTCCTCCATGTACCGAAAACAGGTCACGTGCTCCTCCATGCCTCAAAAGTTAAACGCGTACCAATACCCTGCGGTCTCCAGACCGCAGGGAATAAGTGTTTTAGAAAGTGTTAACACATATCTTTTAGGGTTTTGCGAAAGAAGAGATGCTATATTATGCAGACAGCCGCTGTCACTAATATGTGGATCAGATGGCAGCCTTTATCCCAACAGGTAGGACATTCCTCATTCCAGCGTATCGTCTTTGGTTTACGTCTCAGTAAGAATAATCTTAATAGTATAGATGCATATAATATAATGTTTATATTAAGAGCACTTAGAAAAATAAATAATAAAAGATCTTCGACTAAATCAGTGGTGGGATTACAGGGCTCTGCTTTCTAAAACTGCCGCTTTTTGTATCTGAGCGTGTCTTTGTCATAGTTGAACTATACTTGTAACATTTATACACGGTGAATGAAGACAATATTTTTTTTATGGTTTTAGCTGCGAGTGGACGAAAATGCGTTGCGTGGACAGGTCATTGATACAAAAAGATATTCAATTTTGCCAGACGTTAAGGTAACACTGTTCTTCATTCTAATTCCGTCGATGCATATACATGATGTATATGTTTTGCCTTTGTGTTAAGTTTTTCGATCTGACAGTGCGATAGTCGTCCAGCTTAATAAGTAGAAATCGTAGCTCTAGAATAACTAAAGAATCATTTAGTAAAAGAAAGAATTGGCATGGAACAAATATATTCTACAAATGTAAAATGTAGTGGTCATTAATGATTTAAAAATGTTACAACAGAATAAAAAATACACATTACATGCAACGTTTATTTTTATGACGATTATAATATATATCTGTCTTTTTCATCAAAGAACTAAATCACATATGGAACAGAATAATACTAACGTTGTTTCACTATCATCTACGGAATCATTACCATTGTCGTTCCCTACATCAGCACTAGCGTCAACGAATATTTCATCTGTAGCACTAGAAATCACAACAACGACATCACCACAACCGCCAACATTAACAACAAGAAGAACGCCACAAACTACCTCCAAAGATTCATCGACAAAAGTAATTACACCAAAAACAACGATAAGCACACCAGTAACATCTACAGACATGTCAACAACTCTCATTTCAACACAATCTGCTTTAAGCTCTTTAAGCTCGATTGTTACATCGTTAGCTGTTTCTTCATCCGTTCCAACAACACCATCGTACTGTCAAAACAGGCACTCTATTTCCTGCGGGTTTACGTTCAATGTTGTGTGTGGATCTGATAGGCAGTTATATGCTAATTTGTGAGTATATTATTTTACTTCCTTGTAAAATTGCGTTCTACGAGCCACATTTCTATTGATTTATTACCATTCTCGTCAACCATACTAGCAAAATTAGTCTTAACGCATATTACTTGTGAAACAGGGATTCCGCCAGGAATTTTGAATTATTCTTTTATGTGAGGAAGCTAGCAAGGTAGCTTACATAGCGTTTGTGGTTCTACTTAAGTGTTTGAAATAAAGCATAGAGGGGCACCTGAAGCCTTCTTCGACCAGTAAAGCAGGAAAGTCGTCATATGATCTTTACAGTGTTAGCACGACATAAAACAAAGCAAAAAATAAAAAAAAGTTTATATTTTGAACGCCTTTGAACACATCTTTGATAATAAAATGTTCAGTCGACATTTTCGTATTACATCAATTCCAAGCAGAACGTCTTTAAGTTTGAGTTTCCTTTCATTAAAACTTGATATTTGATCAAACTGAAATACTTGTATACAAATAGAGATAAAAATCGTCGATAAGTATGTCACATTTTCCATAATACTTTCAAAGTTTCACCTGCAGTTAATATATTTATATATTTCATGAACTGAATATGTATTTAAAAGTTTAATGCTTTAAGAAATAGTTTTAGTGCTTCCTTAATTTCTGAAACTTACAAAAAATACCATATGACGTTTATCAATTAATTGCAAGTAATACTTTATCAAAAATGTGTTAAAATCGGCGAACAAAAAAACAAACAAACAAAATAATGAGATACAACTGTTATATTTTGATATGATTCTAGAGTATAGTTTACTATTTGCGACTACATTCGAATCTGTAAGATGAGGGTCATGCAGCCCACATTTTTGTCTTATAATAAAGATAACAGGTCTTTGTATAAAAAAATATTTAGACATTTGAATTATTTAAAATAACATTTGCCATGTAATTTGTATATAACAAACTCTGAATAAATTTTCCTGAATTTAATAATTGAAATTTCTTTAAGATGTATGCTTGCATTGGGACGATGTGACGATCCGTCCCTGACACAGAAGGACAGACAATACTGCTCTAGTGGTTGATGGATTTTTTTATTTTTTATTTCTAATATTTATTAATTTTTCGCATTTGGAATTCATGAATACGTTTTTGTGCGGCAATATTCATTAAAACATACGCAAAGACGATTGCTATTATTTGGTTTCTATTTGAAAATGTGACACATATCTTAATCATAAACCCAGTTTAAAATTGATGCCAGTATACAATTACCAAGTTATCGCGATATATATATTTAAAAGTGTAATTATAAATAAAAAACATCAGTAAAACGACGACGTAATAAAAACAAGAACAGCAAAACATTAATTTTTATTCATGTTGGTTTAAAACGAAAAGTCAAGAATACTAATCACCATGGAAAGCTGGCCAATTGGAAAGAACTAATATCAAAAGTGATACTGTCAATCCATAAGACGACTCATTTGAGTTATGTCTCGGACAAAGATTACAAATAAAGCCGTATTTACAACCCTGTCATGGAACGTATAAACTATCTATAAATAATCATATACATGTAGAAGAAAACGTCAACGTCGAGACGGACCACCATCATAAATCAAAAGATATTCAAGTATAAAATGACATCCAATTAAGGAGAAAAGGAAAACTTCGATCTTTATAAATATTTATTTTCTTCTTTTCAAGTCGAGGCAGTGATTAATTGAAAAATGTTATCCAGTATGATAAATAGCTTTTATCTCTGAACACCAAATGGTCTTTCGTCTAGGGCATATGAGGTTATTCCCTATAAAACATTCAAGTTAGTTCAGCGAATCAATTTATGTTTGGTTGTTAAACATACATCTAGACTACTAGTATTGCATACAATACTTTATGAAATCTGGTCGTCCATGGCCGAGAGAGGTTAATGTCGATTTCAAAACACTTGCCCCATACCATTGGGTTCGAATCGCTGTTTAATTCTTTCTAATGAGGAAGCTATCCAACATCGTAGCGTCTTATGAGATGCCCGTTTAGGAAAGCAGGAGCACATGGGGTCTTCCTCCGCCAGTAAAGCTAGTAAACGTCTTTGCTTTGAGAGAACGTGCAAATATGTTTATTTTGACTTTTCACAATCTGGTAACTTTCGGTTTATCATTACCCCTCATGAACAGACAGTATCAAACCGAGTCTGCAATTTTTATGTAATTTTATTGTTTTAGGCCTCCGAGGGATCACCATTTTCCCAGATTTTTGCTTATTGTGTTCGTTATATTTTGCTAGACAATTAAATTAATTGACTGTGATTGGAAAATTTTTAAGTTGTTAGCAAGTGTGTGTGTCAAACTTCAGTAACAATAAACAGTGAGATAACTATAAAAAGACACCTTTTCCATTGGGCAGTAACGTTCTATCTGATTAAGAATTATATGTTTTTAAAAAAATGAGATGAAAACGTTAAAAATGGATTAAACTGTCATATATTTTTATTTCTAAATATTCCCAATGATCAAAGGTTCTCCGAGAATTCAAAAGCACAACAATTGTTTCCTTCCCAAAGATATACGAGCATATAAACACGTATTGTCTCTTTCACATGATGTTTAGATGATGACAACGTTCAGCAATAAAATTAACCATTTACGAGACTATTACCATATTAATTCATTATCCGCTTTTTATAGGGACATTTTGGTGTGATGAAATGCTTTGAATAGAAATATTGCATTCAATAAATGGGGACATTTCACCGGACTTAATGTTTGCAAAAATGAAAGTAAAATAGAAACGTGATTTCGTTTAAGGTTTTGATAATAGCACTTAGCTGGAAGGAAATGGCTCTAGAGTTCCTAACATTGTCCCCTTCGTATCACTTTAAATTGATACACATTATATTAGGCACATTAAGAAATGAATAGTTCTAGCCTTCTTTAGAAAGCGCAAACAGGATTTTTATAATGTTAAATAATTGTTTCAGAGCATCTTAGTAGCTAATTACCTGGAATGTAAAATTGTACTTATACCCCGGAAACAAAAGAAGCAAAATATCATTCACGTTTTTAGCCAATGAGTAACTTTCTTGAAACTATTAACACAAAATCAAATATAAAAGTGCTTGAGAAATTAAAATAAAAGCATTTATGAGGAATAATGGACCTTTAAGAAAAAAGAAAAACATCACTTATGATACTTTCCCAATTGCAAAAATAATTCGAAAATTGTTTTTGACTTCATATACCAAAAACTACAAATTATTCAAAAGTACATAGTTAAATATAGTATTGAAAAACACAATATATACATCGAATATCAATTAACGTTTCATTATTACCTTTGTTTTCAAATCTTTCAAATTTGCTGTTTTTGGTGAATTTCTGTCGTTTTTTTGTTTTGTTTAAAAAAAAAGAAAACAAAAACAACAACATTTATCCCAATGCTTTACAAACCGACAGTGTCGTTGGTCAAAATCTAAAAGAAAAAAAACCGGTTAGGAGGTTTCTAAATACATGTAATATCATAATCCTCCGCTTGCTGTAAACAAAAAACATTTGATTGATTAAACTTTGATGCAAATGACAACCTCTGATTTTTATCATCTTTTTATCTTTTTTGTCATCTTCTTTTTGCTCTTGTATGATTAGCATCAACATTTGACAAAGTAAAGTGGCTGTGCAAATCTTTCGTTTTAATCAATAATCCTGTTGCATTTTAATCAAAAGCTGTGCTGTTGCATGGATAAATGAGAAAGAATCATGACAAGTTTTGAAGTTGGAAAAAAAAGAAACTCCAAAGAAATATGCATGAGAATTAGTTGGTGAACGATATATTTTTCTTTAAATATTTGTGATAAGAATATTCCAACAAATGTTGCACCATAAGGATCTTAAAATGATAAATTTTTGCCGCTAACAACTTTTTCAGGGCGGTTATTTTTTAAAGTCTTATCTTTTTTTTTCAAAGATACTTTGAGATATGAAAGTTTTTATTTTGAATTTGTTATGGCTTTTCATCGTTATTATCAATATTTTGTTTAAGGCGAGAATGGGGGAGAGAACATATTTTAACAATGGGGAAATAGTGTTTTTATCACAGACACCGATACTTGTTAGTTGCGTGAAGCGGACTAGAGAATGATTCATGAAAGCTTAAAGCTTTGTCATTAAATGACTTACATAAACATGTATTAACTAAACGAAAACAACAGAACATGTAATAAGTTTTCCTATTTACTTTTTTGTATTTAGTTTTGTTTACACTTATTTCAATCGATGTTTCATTCTATACGATGTTTCCGTTTCTAATGAATAAATTTTCTATCAACATTAAGTTTATTTTCTTAACTTCATGAATAGAACTCGCGGCAGTAGCTATTTTTCGTGTTATTCAAAAACAGAAAGACGTGTAGAGTACTTGAAAACTTCGGATTAATCCGTTTTGCCATAGGCAAAATGAATTTAGATTATTTTGTCAGTCTCATCTGAAATTTTGATGGATTTCTATTAATGAATTTTCTGCCTGCATTAATTGTGTTTTTTCTCCATCCATACGGAGAGATCGGATAAGAATTTTATTTCTATCAATTTAAGAACATTAATGTTGTACATGTACGTATTATGTACTAAGAAGTTTCTAGTAAATAAGTTCTGGCCTTCTTTGTCGTCGAACAATGTTATTCAGCATATCTGAATGATCTTGTATCTGCTACACCTAAAATAGGCAGGCATTAGTCCGGCTATCTGCTATTCATCATTAATGGTAATTAGATTGCAAGTATGTATTATTCCATCATTAATACTTATTGTTTATTTGTCGTTAAAACGCTGATCAACGCAGTAGAAAGTTTTACCGCGCAATGTTTGCCGTGACAGCTTCGCACAGTCAATGTTAGTGCGCATTATAAAAAAATCCGTAAAACGCCATAGAGGCACAGATAATTAGCGGTTGAATTGCAGAGACATCTCAGAGAACGCCATACAATATTCTCTTGCGATTGTTTGGAGCATGATCTCAGTGCGTGCTTTGATCGTTTTTTTTTTGCGATGCTTAGGCATTGTTTACGATCATGGCGCTACCCTCCACATTCCAACATCAGCAAAATAGAAAAGGAAACATAGGAAACCGCTTTTGTTTTTAAAAATTTTTAACTCATCATTTCGTACAAACATGTATCATGTGCTAGTTCTCAGCGTTCTTGCTCAGTTATAGCCGCATCTGCATCCTTAACCCAACCTAACTGCGCCAATAACAGAAAGGTATATGACAGCGAGTTTGTTTGGAGCATGATCCCAGTGCGTGCTTTGATCGTTTATTTGCGATGCTGAGGCATTGCTTGCGATCGTGGCGCTACCCTCCACATTCCTATCTTTTTTTAGGACACCACGAGATCGCCGCCGTGGAGTGACCGGAGCATTGAATAAATCAAATAATAATAATAATAAAAAAAAAAAAAAACAACAACAACAACAATTAAAAGACAGCAAAATAAAAAAGGAAACATAAGAAACCGCTGTTGTTTTTAAAAATTGTTTAATCATCATTTCGTACAAACATGTAACCATGTAACAAACACAAGTATATTTTACGCAAGTTCTCTTATAACATTTTCATCGTTTAAGTACGAGTGATATTGTATCAAAGCATAGCATGTTATTCTATATAAAGTTGTATTCGGACCATGAAGAAATGTGGTTTTGTTATAATTCGAGGTCATGAGGTTCTTTGATTCATTATAGATCGAGAGATGTAACGAAACAAAGTATATTTGTGTATCTTCACATGTTTGACGTCATCATTAATTTCCGTTCTTGCAGCGTGAAACCGAGCTCGACTAGGAGAATTTCCGTAGTGGTTATAGTATTGTTAAAGTTCAATGAATCCAGATATAAAAGAGATGATGCACTTTGATTGAAATCAATAATAAAATTCATTATGGAACAAAGAATAACATTCCGATCCGAAAGACAAAGTTAAAAAGTAAACCAGGTAGCAAACATATTAAGGCCTGAATGTCACTATGTATTATCTAGGGTCATAGTTCAGCAGTGGTATGTTAACATAGCTTTTCGATGAAAACTAATATCTCCATTTTTCTTTGTGATCGTCTTTGTCTTAATTCTCACTTTTACCATCATTATTCTCTTTGCAATTGGTATCTTCATTTTCAATTTTAATCTCGACAACACAATTAGTAGTCGGGTAAACCGGTAAATTTAACTCATATTTCTGTTCAAGCGTTTTTGGTACAAAACGTCCTCCGAGATAGTGGTGCTTGCCTTTGAATAACTTCGCACACATTTTAGGAGCGGTAAGGGAGATAAGCATCTCTGGTTTCAGTCCATTTTCATCACCTGTCTCAACATCCCATCCTGAAATAATTGTAGTAGTAGTAGTAATAATAATTGCACCTACGCTGTATATTATTGAAATCAAATCAATGTGAGTGTACCTCAAACGCAATATATGATTATCTTCCACGGATGCCTACATAAAATGCGCGTTAAAATACAAAAGGTGTTCGTGTGTTCGAAATTTAAATACATTGACTGATTTTACAGTAATATTTCTGTTTTATTCTTGTTATTGGGTGTACGCATATTTCTCATTTGTTATATTCGTCTGTCACATGAAAATATATCGCTCCAATTGAATATTAATCAGCGTGATGTTAAAATAATATTATTCACTAATATTTGATTCATAGTTTTGTTATAGTAATATTATTTCACTAATATTTGATTCATAGTTTTGTTATAGTAATATTATTTCACTAATATTTGATTCATAGTTTTGTTATAGTTATATTATTTCACTAATATTTAATTCATAGTTTTGTTATAGTGATATTATTTCACTAATATTTGATTCAAAGTTCAACAGTGGGCAAATGAATAATCCACACCAATCAAGAAAATTAGCCTACAATTTAACTGTTTATGCGATAATCCATTTATTTCTTTCTTTATGGGATTAAAAATGGATCAATAATATTTTATGAAAAATTTGAAATAGATAATTAGATTACCAGATGGAATATCTATACTGCAAATAGGTGTTTCGATTTTCTTTAACGTTTCCATAACAGATTCAAATTCTGTTCTAACAGGACCTGCAATGAAATAGAAAATAAAAATATTATCATAATTATATAAATAAACTTTTCCTTTCATAGTACATTTTTCTGTTAACTTCTGATCCTAATTTAATATACTTATTGTTAGATTGTTTGTAAGATTTCTTTCCTTCTTAATTGAACAAGCTGGTTTTCAAAGAAAGGAATATGGCACATTCAGTCAGTGCTAAGGAAATAATTATGTACCTATACCTGATAATACAGTACACTTAAGGTTTGAATCAGTCGTAAATATTTGCGTCTTTTCCGATGTATTTCCTGATTTCCTTTCAGAGAAAAAAAAACCCTGATAAGTCAGTTAGAAATAGAAATACATGTACATCACATTACCTTTAAAGCCTAATCCAAGCAATGCATCAACAACAAAGTTATATGAGTCTGTAATTAAATGTGGTTCAGACGGGAAAAATGATAAAACAGGCATGTCTAAGCTTTCACACTGTTTAAACAGACTGTCAAACGAAGGATTATTTGGTCTCTTCGGATAGAATATTGTCGGCTTATATCCCTGAAAAAGAAACAGTGATATAATATAAATTCCTCACATGATTATCTCCCTTGGCAGATTTCACAGACGTCACATGATGATGAAAGTCTCGCGACGTAACATGGAAAGTCAAGTGTAAATATCGACCGTTACATAGTCATTTTTCTCTTTCTGTTTTATTTTTAACTTTTCATACCTAATGTACGTTCGTTAAAGTTTATCAAAAATTATCAAAGTTATACAAATTATGAAAAATAAATTCAAAAGCTAAAAAGATATAAAATAACAAAATATTTTTTAATGTGCGTGGTGGCAGAGATCTCTGTACTGATAAAGGAAGATCACTGCGTAGGAGATTGAGTGATAATGACAATACATGTATCAACCAATGTTACAGTACTATTCTTTCTCACTTTTGTGTTATTAATTGTTCTTTCTGGTAATTGTTTGCCGTTCTTTGTATTTTTGTTTCCTCTTTAATAGTTAAAAAGGTTTACAGTCAATTTAAATCATTAAGAGACAGAGCAAAATTAAATAAAACTGGATAAAGTTGAATAATCTCAGCTTTTTTAAATAAGATTTACTGATGCGAACATCCCAAAAGGAAGAAAATATAAAGAAGAATTACTACGTACAAACATTTTCAGATGTCTGGCGCAAACAAGTCCGTCTCCACCATTATGTCCTGGTCCACAACAAACAAGAACAGCATGGTTGTCCTTTGTCATCTGTTCTACTGGATAACACTTAGAAATACACAAAAATGTTGTCAGGAACTAACGTATACAAGCTTAATTTCAACACCCATTAATATTTTGAAGATTATATCATCTGTTTGACCTTGGACAGAAAGAGTATATTTTCTGTCCCAGGTTTGACCAAAAGTAATTGAAAACCGTTTCTGTAGGTTTTGCTTAACAATTGTAAAAGACGTAACACTTTGAGTTACATTACACAAAGCTATGTAGTGCGAAACAAAAAGGCTAAATAATGTTTGAAAAAAATGCTGAAAATTGTATAAATGAATCTCTAATCGAATATGAAAACGTTTGAGATAAGTTTCCACTTTCTTAATCCCAAATGTTATTTAACTACAGATTATAACGTCACGTTTTATATGACAAAAATGACAAGAAACGCGGCCGTTATAACATCGTAAGACATATCTGGCGTTCTACGCAATGTGTGATGCATACATGAGTTAAGCTGGATTGTATGGTGGCTGAGTCGTGCCATTTCGTGTCTTTGCCCATCAAAAATTGAAGGCGAGGACATTAAGGCACGGTTAATAAATCTAAAATTATAAAAATTGGAAAATAAACTCATAGATATTTAAACGAAAAGTTTACTTACATTGGCAATAGCAACGGCACAACTTAATCCCGACAATTCCATAAGTTCTTCGTTGCTAAAGGCATACTCCGTGATTAGTTCTTGATGTATTTCTTGTGCTTCTTTTTGACTGAAATTATAAGACAATGCAATGCAATAAATTAGTAACTAAAGGGCAAGGAAGAATATGATTTTAGTAAATGATAAAAACTGCAGTAGCAACAGCAACAGCAAGCCTGCACCGCGACAGTCCGATAAGTTGATAAACGCTAGAAACATAGACTGTGAAGATATTTTTCTGATTGCTATCGTGAATCATCAGTGACTGAAAATGAAAGAAACAATTTAAAGTGACTGTTCTTAAAAGTTTAAGTACTGTATCCTTTTTTTCACATATTATAAAGTAAAATCAATGCACTGTCGGCGTTTGAACCACGTGACGACCCAATAGGAAATATTTATCAATTCAGCCTCGTTTTCACACCCAATATAGCCTCGTTTTCATTTTCATACTTTCTAACTTGTCTATATCAAATGCATATCGTACTCAATATATGTCATTATACACTGTTGAGAACAATATTATTCTATTGGACTCATACATAGCTGCAAAACCAATGTCAGACTCCGTTAGCGCGTAGTCTAATATAAATTTTTGTTGAATATATCAAGTTTTATCACCTAATATTATCACATACAAACCACAACGCAGGTGATTATTTAACCCTTTAATCAAAAGCAATATAAACACTTATGTTCTCACAATGTAATGCGAAGTCTCTAGCGTTTTTAAGAGGATATTGAATGGATGTAAGTTTACTAAATGCCCAAAGTAATGTCGTAGAAGATCTTAAAAGTAAGAAGTTTGTTGTTATATTTTATTTGTAGTTAATATTGTTGTATTTTCCTGAGGTATTAGGTATTACTTAGGTTACAAAAGACTTGATAATTTCGTCTTATGATTTTATCAGAGTAACAACGTTTAACTTCAGGCACGTATTTCAATATTGATCACAGATCAGACAAAACATATTTCATTATTGAAGTGTATTTAGCCGCCTTTTACTAAATTAGATGGCATTTACTTGTTGCATAACTTCTGATTGGTGCCTGCAGGGTTTTAGATAATAACCAGCAGCAACATTACTGTTTGACGCTGTCTTTTTCTCGGTTTGTTTTGTATTTGTTTGTTTTGTATTGTTTTTTCTTCTTCATTTTTATGAACGGAAAATACAAGTATTGTACCTTGTCTGTAAAGAATGGAATATCTTTACATAATAACTTTCCATTATCTCTCATGAATAGATCTACTCGAGCTGACCCTGCATTTTACCGCTATTGCTATCCAGGGATATTCCCATTTTCTAGATTTTTTCCAGGTTTCTCGGCAAAACAAGTGTCATGGACAAACTAGTTCTTAAACAAAGCATACATTTGACAGGATCAGACATGTCTGTCAGAAACTAAGCTTTTATACACAAGTTGATGACATTATAATTACTTATAGTCCAAATGAACAGCTCATGAATGAAAGGTTTGAGAATTGGTTGGGTGTGAGATAAGGTACTTCTACCGTACATGTGGCATGTATACTTCCTGTACAAAAAAGCAACATTGGTTTGAAATCCATCATTGTAGATTTATTATAATTTATAACAAGTTCTGAGGATGTTTTGGTTAAAAATTATCTTTTTAAAGAATCAATTGTTTAAATTCACACATGGACAGCTGTTTTATTATAAATAAAATATTTGTTACATTTTTTTCTAGTAAATATGGGAAAATTTAATATTAAAAATATAAATATCAATGATTCTCGTTCGAAGACTTAAAAAAAATGTTGCTTTCTTTTATCGATTATAAGCCTCAAACTCTGTTGTCTTTATTGACTCAAAATAAATGCGAGACAATTTCCTTGAAATTTGTTTCTCAACAACACAATACATTAAGAGATCATAAAATTAGCTTTACAAGTATTAACACGTCCATTAATTTCTCGTAAAACGTCGCATTTCCTATCACATTTCATGTCATCTAAATATTGAGAAACGTTCCATTTATCAAACAAGCAAATTAAATTGCTGTCAACTCACCGCTTTCTACGTGATTGAATGGAGAATATTGACAGAATTTAGAATTAAACATTCCTTTGACGCTCTGCAGTTTATGACATTGATTTAGCATTATGTGACAGTTGTTTTAAGCCAATGATAAATATGAATATTTTCCTTTACAATTCTTCTTTTTACAACTTTCTTTGGTTCTTATTGTAACCCCTTACAACGTTACTATTTGACCCTTGACCTAGTTACAATTTGCAATCCCAAATATATGTTCAGAATGTGTAGTTATTCACCTGGGGTTTGCTTATTTTTTATTTATTTATTTATCTATTCATTCAGTATTTGTAGAGTTATTGCCCTTGCAATAATGTGTCTGGCATTACTCAAAAAAATTTCAACATGTGTCTGGCATTACTCAAAACATCTTTGACAAAGAGTCATGAAACTTTACAGGACTGTCGATCAGCGTGTGTCGTAGTGCATTTTGGTGATTTGCTTGTTTGAAATTTATTTTAAGCATACTTTGAAATATGAAATTGAGATTTGAAATTTGTAATGAGGAGGAAAAAATCAAGATGTCAACATATGAAAATTGGATGTCGTTTTGTATGCCCCAACAACATAGGGGTAGGGGGAGTCACGTAGAATTTCCTTTGTCTGAACCTTTGTCATACTGTCCTGGAGTATGTCAATAGACTGACAAAGGGGAATGAAGGGCATCCGTGTCCTATGGACATATTTCTAGTATGGCTTGCATCCTCAAAGGACAACAAAATATTGAAGAAGGGTTTAGGATTTCCACTCCGTATATTAAATACCATTTACAGGCTGTACGATCATAAAGATAATACGAAGTGAAATTGTTCTATTTTTTTGTGTTTTATGCCAAACGGTCAAGGTCACAGTGATATAAAACGTAAAAAAACGGTTCTCTAAAAACTAGAGAAACATTTTAGCAAATCATATGCTGGCCACTTAATTAAAATTCCTATACTTTCGGGCGTGCGTGCTAACAGCTAAACGTAAAAAACTGTTTCTGTTTATTTACTGGGTGACTTTTTGACCAATATACTTCATACAAAACTGCATTTGATCATTGTTTTATTACGTGGATGACTTTAATCAGTTTTGAATGTGGATGCTTAAAGGTCAAGGTCATATTTAGTCTAACGCTATTAATATTCACGTCCTAGAGCAATAGATCAATTTAAACCATTGCTATTTTTACCCGGATGGTATATGTGATCGTCACAGTTCCCGCTCATAACAAGAGGTTTATGTGCATGTCAGTAATTATTTATTATATTGTGTAATCATGCACTTGATTGCTCAGCATGCTTATTAATAAAAGAGTGGTGTGAAACGTGTTAAAACCTTTCAAATGTATAAACAGAATTATACAGTACTGGTATATATGAAAATTAATAAAAACAAGAGGTGACATTTCAATTGCATGAATTCTCGATTTCATCTTGGAGAATTGTCAATTTAACCTCACGTTTTCAACATACATTATTCACGAGTTCACGATTTCAATTTCATGAATTCACGATTCCAAGCTGAAATTGTTAATTCGTGAAAATGAAATCGTGAACTCGTGAAGATGAAATTTCGAATTTGTGAAGTTGAAATAGTGCATTCATGAAGTTGAAATCGTGAATTGGTGAAGTAAAATTCGTAAACTGGTTAAGTTGAAATCGTAAATTCGTGAAGTTAAATTCGTGAATTCATGAAGATGAAATTGTGAATTTATAAAGTGATTTAATGAAAATGAACTCAATTATTCAAGAAATGTAAATGTCACCACTGTTCTTTTGTAGATAATACACTCAATTGTTATTGTACATAAGATAAAGGTATCGATTTGTTCACGTGACATTGGATAACCCATTAAAATCCTATTAATAAGTGATTACATTATTGTTTGTCTAGCCGGCTGTATTTCCATAAGAATATACTTGTTATGTTCTCAGACAAATAGCACCTAATATGTTAATTCTTTTGGGAGCATTTTGCTTCAGTATCCTGGACTGAGCATTGATGCATATATTAAATGTATTTAAATAAATAAAATATTCAATTATAATGATTAAGTGCGCTTTCGTTTATGTTGCTAGAGGTTGTCATGCTCAGATTAACGCTAATATAGTTAATAGGAACAACTTGTTATTCAAAATAATAAGTAAAATGATTGTAAAGCTACTATCAGGACAACACGAAGATTAAAATCTATGAGTAAAGCAAAGTCTAATTTTGCATTAGACGTATCGCATAAAACGATGCTGTTGCCGCGGTTCAAACTTGGTTGTCACACTCATATATACGACATCCGGATAGAACGATATAAATTCGGAGGTCCACTGAATATCGTTATAAGCAAAGATTACTGTATAACACAGAAGGTCAAAATGTAGACTGTGCAATATATTCAGTTTCTGAATCAGTTTTTGTTACGTTCAGTTATTATTTATTGTTAACGTTTTGACATCAGTCGAGTCGACTAAAATTAACTATAAATATTTCGAAATTAAATAAGAAACTGCAATCTATGTTTAATACTTTAAAAGATTAAGATAATTAATGTTGTAATTGCTTCTCTAAACGGAACATGTTGCCTGTATTGCCTATATTAATAATATCACTCTCGCTATTAAAGTATAGGCACCATCGAATTCATCTTATACACATTTGTGTGAACAAATCAATCGGAATGTATCTTAAATATATTTGGGTTGCTTCAAGGCATATTAAGCCTCAGAAATCTATAACATTTAAATACTTTAGATATGTCAAACATTTGTTAAATAATGTTTTAATAATGGCTTTAGAGTATTTAAGATGTAACAAAAAAGTGAATGTATATGGCAAACCAGTTTTTTTTCAGAAACGATGTTAAGATATCAAAATAAAAAGTGTTTAGAAATAAAATTGATTGTCTTTGGTGATTGGAAGTGTTTAGTGTTTGGTTAAAGTAATATAAAAACGCAACGCTCTAGCAATACAACATAATTAGCTTACTTCACTATTTGGCATTGTATTGTCTACTTTTAGTTTATAATTATTAAATTGTCAGCTTATTACCTAAAGATGGATGTGATTGGAATATATTTTACCATAGTTATCTCTATAGGCTTACTTAACTTTAGAATAAGTACAGGTGCACAATATATTTTTTCTAAAAACTTTGGCTTAAAACACTCTAATTGCCGATCGAGTTCTCAGTTGAAAATTTAAAGTATTATTCAAACACATTCGATCATGACATTCTAGTGTGAATTGAATTAATCTAAAGAAAATCAAAACACATTATCGATTATTGTGTTGAAAAGTAATTTACAATGACTGAATGCTGCAAATATCGTTTTCTTCTAAAATGGGTTCTATATGATAAACAAGCATTTTAAACTTTTTCAACTCTCTGCGTTCAATGTGAATGGATTAGAAATATTAACAAAACTAAGCATTCTTTTGATGCATTGATTGTTGTTTTGAATTTATAACTACAATGTATATCAATGACTATAATTTTTTAAAACTCAAGAATTGTCAGATATACCTCCTCTCCTTAAGAATGTCAAAACACTTTCTACGCTTAATATCTTTTCCACCTTTTAATCTGGACAACATCATAAAGATTTATAGGGAAAGTTTCAAAGCAAGTGCAGACTGAATAGCAAACATTACAGACCAGATGACACACAAGTTATAGTTTTGTAATAACGATATTATAGCTGCATTCTAAACATGTCAGCATGTAAAATAACTTTAAAGACATAAACAGATGTAATCTATTTGTTCTGTTACAAAAAGCTTTGTTAATTTCCTTCAATGTAATGAATCATTTGTCTCACATAAAATTTTGATCCGACTGTGATAAAATGCATAGGAAACGATTTATAACATTATCAAATCTGATCCGTTTAATCAACCCGACGAAGAGATCTAGAAAATAGCATATAGATCTTAAAACCGACTTTTGGGGCAAACAAATGTTTTTTTGAAAGAAAATTTCCCAATTAAAAAGGGGGGAAAAATTCTTTGGGTCAATACACGCTTCATTTCTCATAAAACCCTCTTTTTTTTTAAATGGGATCAGTTTGATTTTTGGCCGATACCTCGGTAAATTTTTTACCATTTGTTACCGCTTTAAAACCACCATTTACTGTTTGACCAAAACAAACAAAGGGAATTACCTCATCTGGGGAACTGTTATGCTTTAAGGCCCAATTTTCAAAACCCGCCTTTCCACTTTGAACTAAATAGGATTTCTCCCAAATCACTTAAAGGTCAACCATTTTTTAGGAAAAAACCCTGTTGGTAAAAACGTCAAAAAAAAACAGTGTATTGAAAAAAAAAAAAATTTTTTTCAGTAAAAAATTACATTAAGTTCGCGCTTTACCCATAGGTCTCTAACGTTATACTTATGATAAGTACCGCTGTTAAATGAAATGACCCTATGTTGTTTGGGCAAAATCTTTAACGTCAAAGTGAAGAATTGAACGTGAAATTTATTAAAAAGAGTCTCTACTAAATAACAAAGAGAAGCACTTTAACAAATTCTATTTAAATCAAACATGAATGGTCATCTTTATTAATTTCAAACCATAGTTTAATTCCTGGATCACAAGTCACCCCAGTGACTATGAAGGTTAAAAACCCTGTTCTGCTTTTGAACGTCTGTTACTCAAAAAAGTGTTAGTACAATTTTAGAAAAATTGAAAGCTGTGGTTTCACAATTTAGGGATCTAAGTTAAAAAAGCAAAAAATAGGATTCATCTACTCTTTTAATAAGAATATCATTCGTCATTTGGTCTAAATGTTTTAAGTTCTTAAATAAATACGCCTATTTAATTTTTTTTAGCCAATGGTATCTATACAATAATAAAAACGTTAATGGAATCAAACATTGCATTAATAATACATGCAAAACAGTGATCAATTAATTAAAGAAGTGATATTAAATTTAAAAATAAAATTTAAAACAGTATACATAATGAATAAGATATTATAATCATAAAACAACTATATATGTTTTAAGTTTAGAAGCAGAATCATACCTTATATATTTTATCTTTTGTTGCTGTACTTCCTCAATTTTGTTTGCATGTCCGTCATGTTTTTGTTTATCCTTCTTATGACTTCCTTTTTTTTGGGAAATGAAATTTTGTTCACGATATCCTATCCATTTTTTATTAGTATTTTCTACTATATGGACTATTTGTTTGTTTCATTTGTTTGTTCATTGGGGGGACGATGTAAGTTTTTGACAAATTTTTTTTTTAAGCAAACACAGACGACGAAAAAATTTATGCAAATAAGGGGAAATTTTGTCACTTTTTCCCAAAATTTTTCTTGAATGCATTAAAAATTGTTTGCTTAACACAAAAGACGAAAAAATAAATTATTATCTCAAACAATTTAAAATTCTTACAAAATTTTAAATACATTTTTTCTTCAGTTGCAAAAATAACTAAACTAAATGATGAATTTTTAAAAACATGAAAGAAAATTGAAAATTTTTAATTCACTTTTTTTTTAAAAAAGACCCCCCGGATTAAAACATTTTAAACAAAAGCATCAAATCCAGCTGTTTGCAAGAAACCAGTCAATAACACGCACATTTATGCTTAAATATCCTTATCGTTATTTCCTCTGATAACAACATAGAACTGTGAACATCTCTTCGTTACTCTGTGAACATCTCTTCCTAACTCTGCAACAAAATATGGCTATACTTTCTGTATTGTATTGGCAAATTCCGATTGTCATAACAGTGTTGTGAGAAACATAAAATCACACCGCTAAAACAACTCTTACATATTCCTATTTAAGCATCTTTGTTATTTGATTTAATATATACTATAATTTCATTAAATTGATAAAGAAACACTAGTAAATGTTTATTATACTCTCCTGTGCATCGGTCGAATGTTGTTTCACTATCGCTTAAGCAACGGAAGTGTTTTCATTGAGCTGCGAAGGAAGCGTAATATGTTTACTACAATCGCAATATTTCGCATACTATTTTAAAATTGGTGTGTATTTTGGAAGACAAAAGTCAATCAAAAAACTCTAAAACTGCATTTTTATCAGATCTCTACATGATGTTTGAAGTACAAAGTTGCAAAAAGAAACAGATGGCAAAACAAACAGCATGTTAGGAACTTGAACCCGTTACCACTTGCATACCATTTATTTTGTTACCCTATTAACTGAGTTTCTTAGTCTTTCTTAGTTTCTGCCCTTATTAGTAAACAGTTCTATACCGGATAATATCATCCATCGAAAAACGATTTATTCGATTAATGATATTAAACAATTGTTCAAAAAAGGAAGCTTTTAATCGTTCCATAAAGACGTTTCAAATTAATTTTGAAAATAAAAATTTAATATGTATTCTAAAGAATGTATATCTTAAAATGGTGCTAGAGATAGCAATAGTTCAGTTTAATAATTCATAGCATTGACAATCGAATAATCAATGTTCAAATGGAAGATACGTTAGAATTTCGGGATTTTCAAACTCGGGACTTTAAATGGAGAATCTTTTAACAAAAAAATGTTGTGACCAAACGCACAAGAATCGTTTTATCCAAACTCATCATCAAAGATGTATTATAATGTTGTATGCTCCTAAGATATTCTAATATTCATTTAGACCAATATAAAGACGAGAAGACAGGCAACCACATTGCAATTAGTAATCGTACAATTTATGCAAGTAATGAATTGGAATCAATATAAGACTTTTAACTCTTTACCACATGAGCATATTGTGCAAAAATGGCCGTTTTCATCTATTACAAGTTCAAAAGTGCTATGAAACTGCTATGAAACTATGAAAAATGGTTCAGTACTTCAGTATTTTCTGTTACCATGGCAACGAAGAATGTCTCAAAATTGCCAAAATACACTATTTTGCATTTTTTTCCCATCAAAACTGATTTCAAAGTGTTGCAATTTATCAATGGATTGAGATTGAGAAAAAGGCTTTTCAGCGTTGGTTACACTTTAACTAACGATCGAATGAGCCATTTTTACTGTACTTGGTCCCAAAATTTTCTTGTCGGATGTGCATGAGGGGGCCTGCCCCAAACAAACCCAAGTAAGGGAAAAATGATATTTTTTAAAAACATTTTTCAAAAAAAAGTTTTGGGCCCAAAAACAGGATTTTTTATTTTTTTGGGGAAAATAAAAAGGGGGATTTTTTAAATGTTGTTTTTTGGCCAAAATGAGGTAAAAGGTTAAAATTGATTTTAAAAAATTTTGAAAACTATTAAATGGGAGTTTAAAGAAAAGGAAAAAGGGTAAAAAAAAAAATTTTATGTAAATTTCCCCAGGGAATCAATTAAATTGAAAATAATTTATCAAAAATGTTTTAAAATAAAAAAAATTTTTGTCTCTAAATATTTAAAAAATAATTTTGAATAAAAATCTTTAAGAAAAATATCTTCAAAAATCCCAATTAAAAGGTTTCAAAAAAAATCTTGCTTTTGGATCTTGATCAATAAATGATTGAAGGATTTTGACTTTGTTTTTTAAAATGTTTTTGAAATGTCAAAAAATTGTAAACTAAACCTCTACAACATTTTTATTTCCTTAGGGAAAACCTTTTTCCCCCCCAAACAAGGGGTTTTAGAAAAAAAAAAGATGAAAACGGGCTTTTAAAAGAACTATTTAAGTAGAAAAAGGTTTCCTGAAAAACTTTGTTGGATTTTAAATACAGTCCAAACAATATTTTTTAAATTAGCTGAGAGGTTTTAAATTTCTTTTAAAAATTAAAATGTGTAAAATTGTTTTTTATACAGACAAGAATCGATTAAACACAGTGAGATTATAGTTGCCTAATGTTTCTGTATTAAAAAATTGTGAATAACAAAAATTTTGTTGCTTTTTTATTTTTTTATTTTTTTTTTTTTTTTTTTTTTTTTTTGTTATTTATTATAAGGGAATTTTTGCTGTAAACTCCTCTCTTTGGATCCCATGTTTAAATCCTTATTTTTACAGAATCTATTGTCAATTTCTCGATTTATAACATATACATTATGTTTAAATAGACGGTCCCAATTTCATTTAAAGCCTATGAGTTGAAAATATAGAGTAATTTGATTATAAGGGGTTTGACAGTCATTAAATTTTATACGAAAAAATGACAAATATTCTTGGGGAAAACTGAAAGGGAATAGAAAACCCTAACCCATAAAAAAATGACAAAAATTTAAGTCTTGAAAAATTCATATCAAATGCCTATCTGTACATAAAAATTTATTAATTCTCTGCAGAAAAGACGTCATTTAACAAGGATTTAAACAAATTTCCCTTCAATTAATCTCATACTACAGTTAACTTTTAAGAAATATTACACCCTTTCAATATTAAAAAAAAGAAAGCAAAAGGAAATAAAGGGATTTTTTTACAATATTTAACTAATCGCTGAAAAAGATTGATTGATATAAAACAATTAGCCAATTAAAATAACCCGGTGGGGAAAAATTACCAAAATAGGGGAAAATGGGTTATGTGTAAAAAATTTTTAAAAAGTTTCCCCATGAAAATTTTAAATGAAATAAAATCACGAAAAAAAAAATTATGCAATACCACATATAAAAAGCCCAAAAATTGTCAAAAGTATATATTGGCTGGAATGGGTAAATTTTCAAAAATGTTTTTTATTTTTTAAAATATCAAAAAGCAAAAAAAGTTCAAAAATTGTATATATAAACATTGAACTGCATTTTAACCAACTTCATTGGGTTATATGCTATTTTCAAAGCTGAAAAAAGAAAGTAAAATTTCATAGTATAAAGACATTAAAAAAGTAATAAATACATAGGTATTTGTTTATAATCAATACCTTTAAGAAAATAATTTAACTAAATACATTGTAAATTTAATATTAGTTGAAAAAACATTTTTTTAAACCCAACTGCTCTGTTTTGCACATAAAGTAAGCAAAATTGTTTTGAAAAAAAACCAACTTCAAAAAATATTCTAGAATCCTAGTTAAAAAGTGGAGAAAAGAGCTGACCCTACTACAGCTATACCCTGTGATTTCTTGCAACATTTGCCCACCTAAATCTCTTAATTACATAAAATAAGTCTAGACAGTTTCCTGGGCAGTTCCCTTTAATTGTTTTTTCTTGTACACCGAGTAGTTTAACAAATAACATGAACCCGCTCTTAATTTCTCGCAATATGTCCATTTCCTAATCTTAAAAATTTCGTAGAAAGATCGAAAAAATTCCAATATTATAATTCCCCTTTTCCGTCAATTTTTCTTAATACAAAATTTAACCAAGTTATTTTTTAAAAAATATGTTGTGGGAAATTCTTATTTTTTTCCCTTATCTTTAAAAAATTTAGAATTGGACAGGTCTGGATCTATGCATTAAGAAGCTTTCAAGTAAAAGGGCCATTTAAACTTTTTACAACTGAATTAAAAAAAATTATTTGTGCATTAATTCACTTATTAAACGGGGGAAAATCATAATACCGGTATGTTTTTTTTCCGACCCAACTTACAGGGTTTTTTTTTAGACATTTTAAAACACTTTTGTTCTCTTGACATGTGCAATAACTTGGGTAAAACAACAAAAATCAACAATACATTCTGTCCTAGGCAATCAACATTAGCTCAACATTCGATTTTAATAATAATCAAAAAATTTTCATAGTAATGTTGAGCTAGAAATCAAAATCAGCTAAATTGAAAATTTAGAAACAAACCCTTACCAACATTTACCAATAAATTTAAACCTTTGGAGAAAAAAACCAAAGGCTTTAAATTTTTTTCCCCTGAAATAAATTCCCCCAAATTATCCTTAAAAAAAAATTTTTAAAGTATTTCTGAAAATCCAAAAATGAATCAGAAATTTTTATGTCAGGCAATCAACCAAATCCCTAAAATGGGTCGGGCTTTAAATTAAAGTTAGGGTCATAAAATCAGCAGACCAAAAATCGATAAAAAAAATTCAACTCAACATTCGACTTTTAAAAAATCAAAGATTTTAAAATGTTTAGGCAAAACTAAGCATTTTTTCAGGAGTAAAAATAATTGTAAAATTTGAAAATGAAAACAAATGGTTAGCTAGACAAAATTCCGCAGAATGTTTTCTTTTCGAGCTAACAATCGACATTCCCGCTCAACATTTCGATCTATAATAATGAACGAGGTTTTTCCCTTTTA